GCCGTGACAACACTGTCTGCGAGAATAAAGCAACGCATTGGAGCAAGGTGCTTATCGTCGAGTAACAACTAGCAACGTGGCCTTCATCAGGCAGAACACGCTCTGGTTGAAACAATATCAAATCCTCGCTTAAATACACGAGAGCTAATTTGCATTCTGGCAGGAAAACGGAAAGAGAGAAGTGACAGAATAGATTCGTAACATAAAATAACTGGTTAAGTAACATAAACACCTTACATTTATACACCTACGTTTGCCATATAAAATTCTACATAGCCTTCTGGAAAGAACTAGTTGTGACTGAAGTAAGAAGAGAGATAAAGATGCAAATTAAAATAAGTTATTAGTTAATCAAAGTATTTACTAAATATAATTACTAAAACAACATGATTACTAAAACGGACTCAACTATTCTGTATACTGAATGATGAAATTTATTTTTAAAATCCAGAAATAAATCCTCCAAAAATATCTGCTATTTTATGGCTAAAGGATCTTATCGAAGGATTTTAGTTTTATATTAAGCAAAGTTGTTTTATATTACTCTGCTTTTTAGATTTATTCAAAAACCAAAATTTCAATTTATCTAATAGCTTATTAATTGTATCAGTCTTGTCTAACGATTCAGTTAAAAATGGGAGCAAGGCTTATGTTTGAGTAACTTTCCTATGCACCAAAAAGTTTTATGTCTAGTGTCAGAAACCTAATATTCAAGTGTAATTAATTGTAAAAACTATTGGATTTTGCTTGTAGACACGAAGCAGTATTTTATTAATAAATTATTCTGAGATGAAAGGGAAATTCTATAGTAATTAAAAAGCTTTATTTTGATTAAATTCAGATGATTAGCATCAGATAAAGCTCTGATGAGTTTTGAGCTCGTTTCAGTGATATGTAGCCAACCAATTTGACACAAGTGTAGTTGGAGTATTTATGAAAATTTCTTCACTTTCGAAAACAATATCTCTTATCATCCTTTTGTAATAGTTTTATATTAAGTGCTTTACAGAATAATCTGCAAAAAGCGGCTTCTTTTTCATGAAGCAAAATCTGGAAGAAACTCGATAATGGTAAAATAATTTCACATCAGCAGAATGCTGAGAGAACTAAAGTGAAAAGAATTGGATGTTACATAGAATACGTTACATCTACTCAGCACATCAAGTGCAAATTTATATCCTCAGACCGGAAGAAGATGTTTTACTAATCTTTTAGATTTTACAGCGAAGAAAAAGGACTCATTTTTCTTGGCTGCTACGCAATAGTTGTCCACACGAAATCTCAAAGAAGGAGAGCGATTATTTTCAGTGTTTTAAAATATAAAAATAGGAACTTAACGGTTATGATAATAATTTCAGATTTAAATCGAAATAGCTTTCAAAGAGTTCATGAAGTGAATTATTCACTATAGACTTATGCAAAGTCTATAGTTAAAAAGAATTTATACTCCAGTTTGTTTAATTTCTAACACATTTGTTTGTTCCTTTGTTCCTTCAAATATATTTATATAGCCACTTTGATTATAGTAGCTTACTTAATTAATATAATGCCTGCTGCGACATGCATCTCTCAGCATATCATTGCACCAATTATCACAGACTTACAGTTCAATTACGTAATGAAATATATCTCAAAATAATCTTATATTACATGTAATGAATACATTTTACTTTTTTCCCTTAGAAAAAGTGTAAACCTTCTAAAAATTTACAACTTACAAATAAAACTTAGGTATTTTCTCCCTCCTTTCCGCATAGGGTGTAATTGGAAGAACGTTCGATGCATATTCGGGAGTTTTGGAGTTCGAACCCCGGCGAGAGCATTGTGCCTTTTTCATGTTCCTAATGATTCTATAGGTGGCGCCTGGACGATAATTCGTCACAACCAAGATTTTGAAGACTGTGTCCCCTATTCCCCAGTCGCCCTTTAAAAGGAGGTATATAAAACATTTTCTTCCTCCTTTTCGCATGCTTTCGTGCCGTAACTGGAAGCACGCTCAGCGCATATGAGGGAGGACCGGAGTTCGAATCTCGGCAAGAGCGGTACATCTTATTCATGTTCCTTCCAGCGATAGAACATTATCATTCTGCTTTACCAAAAAAAAAAATTTTTTTTAAAAGTCATGTGCAAGAATTATGTAGAATGATTTTGCAAATGGCTTTATTCATTCAATTTTATCTCTGGTAATTTTCAGAATTTGTATTTTTCAATTAGACAAAAGTGCGTGAAATTCTATCTAAAAGCGAAGTCTAATTTTTGTCTAATTCTAGTTTCTTATTAGTTTAGTTTTATTCATTAAAAGATACGTTTATTATTTCTGATAGCTAGCGCTGAATTTAATTTAGTTCCTTATCATTTTAAATTCCGGAATCAAGAAGGTTTTAACTCAACAATAAAGTATTCCTTCATCAGCTTACTGTTGACTTTCTTTTACAGATTTTCTTTTAGACTTTCTATTACATTTTTTAACACTTTGACGTTTATTAATCCATTATATTACAAAAATCAGTAAAATATCCCATTTCATTCTAATTTTCCTTGCATTAGTTACATGACTGCAAATACTTCATATCGCTTTGTTAACAATCCTTTATTCAAGCAAATGTAAAAAGGGTTCTAAGCAAAATATGAACACAAATAAAGCTATTATTACTTTTCACGAACACTCTGTAGCAGAGTATAAAACCTTGAGAATTTGCGTCTATTTAAAACACGTTAAGCATCTTCTATCAAAATCAGTTTACTATCAAATACTTGGTATTTATGAAAGTATGAAAATTTATGTTCTTCGAAAATGAAAGCCTTGGAAGTGGTCTTCCGAAAAAAAAAAAAAAAAAAAAAAAAAAAAAAAAAAAAACGACTTGTAATTTCTGTCACTCAAGAAAAATTTTAAAGAAGTGAATATTCAGTTAGCCTGCTAAGCGAAGTAACTCATATTTGGTAAAATTATCAGTCCTAAGTGAATTTACACACTCTGTCACTGGCAGGCAAGAATTACTTCAGTAAACGTCGTCAAGATTACATCAATTGTAAAATATAATATGTAATTTATAAATACTGATCTTAGAAGCCTTAATTAGAAATGAATATTTGCATTCTTATCACTTTAAATTATCTTTTAGAATAAGTGTAATTCGCAGTTAGTACTGAATTTTACCATCCTTGAAATTTTTAATTTCATATCTTCAGGTTTAATTTTTTCATATCTACAGGTTGATTATAATTGAAGTCACCCTATTTAAACTTACGTAGAGCCCGTTCTGGTGGACCTTTTTCATTAAAATCTTAGTAGATACATTATAGTATGACACATGGGAAAATGAAAACTGCATTTAAAATTAATAGTTCAAATTTTGAACGATAGATGGCGTTTGTCTTGCTATATAGAAAAGACATTATCCAGATTTGGAGCGCCTTAAAAAATTAGTACTCAGTGTTGTAAAATCACTCTTCGTCATTCATTCTTCATTCAATCATTTATTCCTTTAGAGAAGAAAAATTCGAGTTTTGCTGATCAGGTAGTTTTTGTCAGAATAACAGTAATTTTTTCAAATGCGCTGCGAGAATATCGACTTGAAAGGCTTCGAAGAGGGCTTATATCGAGGCAGATGAAGAGATTGGGGAATGTCTGTGCTATGAGAAAGAAGATTGAAACAGATTTCAGATGAAACTGTGATGTCTACCAGCGGTCGAGAGGTAACAGCCACTCACTGAACACTTGTAGTTGGATTCGAGGCTCGAGTTCCCACGAACGGCTGCACCGAGTATTTTCGTGACTTTTCCCATGTGTAACGTGTATACGAGCCAGTTTCCCTTGAAAAGTCCTCCACGTGGCATCTTTCCCCTTCCGTGTAATGCCAAATGGTGAAGCACATAATAAATAAAAAATGACACTGTGGAAGAAGTTGCATTTGCGATGGTCGAAAGAACGTCTGGTTCTCAATATTCTTCTAAAAGTATTCGAGAGGTGTCAAGTGATTTATCTCTCATTTGGTCGACCGAACGAAGGGTCTGCGATCCATTGTAAAGTGGTATCCAAACAAGATCCAAGTTCTATAAGAGTTGCAATTTGCATACCCGGACAAATGTATTGATTTTGCTGCCTTTCTTTAGGCCAGATTAGCCCGAAAAATGCATGACCTCGGAACATTTTGTGGTCTGACAGGTCGTATTTGAACCTTGGATGGAGAAGATAATGCTGAAAATTGTTGCATATCGGGTACTGCAAGTCCTAATGTTGTGCATGAACGGTGTCTGTATCCTGATTACGTTACTGTATGGTGTGGTTTTACTGATAATTTCATTGCCCCCAAGACCCTCTAAGGTGTTCAATCACGGATGTCTGTCACTGCGAACGTCTTCAGTTTCATGTCCTTCCTACCTTAAAAGAACTTCCTACCTTAGAAGAAGTTTAGAGACTGTTGTCTTCATGCAAGAGGGTGTACCACCTCACATTGCCGGACCAGTGAAGGCACTGCTTTGAGCCCACTTTGGAGATGATTGGGAAATTTAGAGAAGTTTCCTGACTGTTTGACCACCTCTTCTCCGAACTTAAATCCCCTTGACTTCAGGCTGTGGAGATTCCTCAAAGATCGTGTCTACGGAGGAAGCATACGGTCTGTGCTTGAATTGAAAACGTAACATGCCATGTTGCTGCAACTGATCGAGAAGTACTTCATGCTGCTGTTGAAAACGTTATGGTACACTTTGAACGTACTATGACGTTATGGAATGCTCATTGAACAAATGCTGCGATAAAATTAAAGTTTCGTTTTTCCAATTTGCGTTCTTCTTTTTTCATGCGCCTTCTCAACTGGTGATCGAAATTTGAACTACTGTTTTCATTAGAGATTTCTTTTCCCTATGTTCATATAACGCATATACCAAGTTTGAAAGAAACAGGTCTACCAGATCAGGATCTATGTAGGTGTAAGTAGGGTACTTTTAACTGTAACCAACCTATACATGATTAATGAACATGGATAATATTTAATTTCCAGGTTTCGTAAAGTTGCCATACAATACTGATTCTGTCGACGAAGATCTGAACTTTAACGAAGATATTTTAGGACCAGATAATGCACCTAGTATGACAGGTTTCCGGAAGAAATTTAATCGTTTAAAAAATATAAACTTGAAGACATTGAAGCGATCCAAGAACTGTCGCTTCGAATGCCAACCAGCAATCGAGAACCATGTATCTGATGCCAGAATGAGTCTAAGTGATAAAAGGCCTTACGCTAAAATCATGATTAATCACTGCTTAAAGTGTCTGAGATCTAAAGGTTACATGGAAAAAGTGATGGATAGAAGCAGATACAAAAGGGACTTGGTATGTAAAATTAGCGCCAAAATTTTTTTTTTCTTGAATGTTTATTATTCAATTTGTTTAGCTGATAAATTTACATTGCTTGGAGTTAAATTTTATCACGAATGACGAGTATTTTAGAATCTTTGAATCGGTTTTGTGTTTATACTTAGATTAATATAACTTAAACGCATTTAAACGAAATTATTGCAAATCTGACTCTAAATATATTAGACAATCTATCGAAATTCGTTTGTTGAAAATATTATTTTGACTGCTAAAAACGGCTTGACGCCTTTTTCTCATCAAATTGGAACTTCTTACTTTCTTCTCAGTTTTACATTGGTTTACCTTCTGATGATTAAATTACAGTAGAACTCCGATAGGAAATTCCTGCGTAAGAAATTTTCCCTGTAAGAAGTCTGACTTTTAAAGCTCTGAAGCTACGGAATCTGAATAAAAAACAAGAGCAAATATTGCCCCAAAATATGAAGCTGCTTTGAAATCCTCAACGCCTGGACTACATGAACCACTTTGTCATTCAGTTCATTATCGGAATGAAAATATCTCAATTGTAATGAAAGCATCTCATGTGATTCTCACTGCTAATTTTATGTTTTTGGGCTCGTTTGTATTATTTTTATACAAACAACATATTATATTTGCCATAAAACTTAAAATATATAATTGAAGAAAATAAGAATAAGAGAGGAAAGGTTTTACAACTGCAATTAAAGCTAAGGAATGTTTTATCGCTAAGTTTGAAAAGCGTTAGACATATTGCTGATCTCGCCACTTCGTTCGCGATGCCTAAATCGAATATATCTCTACGGTACTGAAAAATGCAGAATGGTCTTGGACACCTTGGAATAACGAAGTCATCGCTAGGATGGTATAACGGATCGAAGAGTTTTTCGTCCCTCTTCCTCTACCATCAAACCATTCGAGAGGAGTTTTGGCTTGCTGTGTATTTTAGGTGGCCCAATGCCTCAAAGACACCATGCACTTATAAATATCCTAGCCCTCTTTGGGTTTGGAATCTGGGGTCCATCAGGCCTCTTGAAAAACGAAGCCCAGGCGAAAGTACATCTCAAAAGAAGAAGTGTCTGTACCACTTTTACATCAAAATCTCCTCATGTACCATTCAGAGAATCCACGAGTTTTTAAGTACAGCAATATTATTAATAGCAAACTTATTATTATGCGAGGCCCAAACTGAAAAGCATGAACAGATTTTCACTAAATGGATACGCGATAAGTTTGTTGCTTCAATAAAGGCTTATCTCCAGGAAAAGAAAATCTCCCGGTAAAGGTCAATGCTCTTGAGCTTATACGCTTTGAAGATAATGGGCGAGTATAGTCTCAGCTAGATTTCGTGGGAGCGGAGATAATATAATGTTTGTGGCCCATCCAACATTGCGTATCTTATTCAGCCCACAGAGAAGCAGATTATCTCAAACTTAAAAAAGAAATATACACCAAGACTACATTTAAGATACTTTGAAGCCTAGGTTATAAAAGTACAGTAAGACCCCGCTTAACGCTGTTTCGGTTCCGCCTCTTTATTTCAACCGGGGATTCCACGAAATCGCTGGCAGCAACGGGATTCCCCGAAATATTATGCAGCGATAGGTTTCAAATACATATCCGAAAGAGTGTACTTGTATTCTTGTTTGGTGCGGTATTGTACAGACATATTTGAAGGGATAAATGTGGAAGATGTCGAAGAAATAATTCAAGAAGCAGCGGCTAGTCTTTCTAATGATGAGCTCAAGGAATTAACTGAACAAGAAGAAAACAAAATGTTGACAGCAGTGATTCAGAAGAAGAGCAAAAGAACTTTCGATGGCGTTTGTAAAAGGAGTTTGTCTACCATAACTGAAATAATGGATCAATTCATGAAATGATCCGAATTTTGACAGGAGCTCAAATAAGGCGTGGTGTTAGAGATGCTCTATCCGTTTATGAAGAACTTTTAGAGAACAACGCAAAAGAAAAAGGCAACAACATTAGATGCTTTTGTCACAAAAGGCAGAACACTGAAACGCGGAAGGCTAACTAAATATGACTGACTGAGAATTTTATTTGTTTTTTTTTAAGATATTCGTTTTGTTATTTATATTTTTGTTTCTATTTTTGCAAAATAATAATGTGTATTAATTTGGGCTTTAAGAAATAAATGTTTGGTTTTATTTTATTAAAAAAACATACTTTTTAAATTTAATACCTAACCAATTTCCTAGCCATCTTCCCCTAACCCCAATATTTACATGTAAAGATAGCCTCGTTTAGCGCTGTTTCGCATTACGCTCTACTTTGATGGAACGTATCCCCCGCGTTAAGCGGGGTCTTACTGTAACTGAACTGACCGTCGGAGAATTCTGGAAGAATCACTACATTATCCTCCACTGCCTTTCCGGAAGAATCACTACAATATCCTCCACTACCTTTCTGGAAGAATCAATACAATATCCTCCATTGCCTAAGAATAATTTATAAAAGGTTTGAAGCATTTATAAAAAGCTTAAAGCCTCAGAGAGCTCTTTGAGAACAATGAACTCAGCTTAGAAAATGCTTTGCCCTCAGTTGGGTACTGGAAGGGACTTGAAGGGTTTCACCAGTTGTTCCTGTTATCCTATTTTTGGACAAGTTTATGGGCTGAGAAGTCAGCGAAGAGGATATTAACGAGTTAGTGAAAGATCGCAGGATAGATTTATCAACAGAAGAACTTCTGCCCACCATGATTACGACATAAGGGTTAAATATTGATTTGGCTAGATGGGTCGGGACTCTCTTTAAATAAAATCTTGCTTCATTCAAAACCATATTTTAACTGAAACTATCCTTTAGGTTCAATAAGATAACGTTTTCAAATAAGAATTTTAGAAAAAAAGAGATAATATTAAAAGTGTAAAAACTTGCTATGCATTTATTTTTGAAAACTTTATCTGCTGTGCTTACTTTGAATTACTTAATCATGCCATCATACAATATTTAAGATAAAATTCTGGCTGAAGCTATAATGCAATCTAAGAGCTTTTTTTAATGTACTGGGTTCCTTTGAATGGATTAACTGGGATTTAACATCATTTTGTTGTCTTCAAATTGAACCTACCAAATGAAATTTATAATTAAACTTATGAACTGAAATTTGTAATGAAAAGAAAGATTGAAATTTGGAATAATAATTTCTTTGCCTTGAGATATTATAGATTATTACCATGAACTTTTTTTTAGCAAATGACGCCTTATATTGAACCCACGAATCCGTTGAAAGATCATCCAGTCACTATTACAACTAAACAAGGGAAACATTTTATTTTTGGAGGCTGGCTATCAGATATGATGAATCCAAATCAGAAGCAAAAAAATCAGCAAGATTTTGTAAAGGATCTCGAATTTCGTAAATCGCGCATTTTATTAGCTTTACCGTGGATGGAGAATTCAAAATTGCTGAAAGCAACCAAAGAACCCATAGTGATTGGAGGAAAACTTGACGATGATTATGAGAACGTGAGTACCTTTTGAATTTAAGCATAGATCTGAATTTAAGCATTTTCATAGATCTAGTCATGAATGTTATTATAAACAAACTTCACCAGAAAAAAATTACAGTTAATTGTACTTTAAAGGAGAGAATATGTAGTACATAAGAAGAACGCTCTTGGGTTTAAAAAATATTAGGTATCAAATACTGAATGCTTTGTAAATGCAATCACAGTTTTTATTTCGGTTTTTTTTTTTTTTTTTTTTTTGTTATCTAGCATACTTTGATGAGTATGCAGTATGATGAGGTATGTGAAAACAAGCTAATTACGATTGATTAAAAAGTTTTTATACGTAAGTTTTATTTAAATGTTATGGTAATTATGCAATAAAGGAGAAAGATAATTGTCTATAGTTTACTGGGAAATAGTGAAAAATTCTATTACAGAATTCATCACAGTTTTACACTCATGTCATAAATTAAGGATAATGCAAAATCAGGCAAAGGAAGAGTTAGAGCAAAACAATTTGACTTATTTGTAAAGCTTATTATTAAATAAAAGTAAAGAGCAAAAGATGCTATATGTTTGATATTATTAAAAAAAAAAGCGATTTTTCTCCATGGGCCACTTAAAAAAAAAAAAAAAAAAAAAAAAAAAAAAACACTATTTACAAAAAAAACCAATATGGTGGTATGATTGTTATACATTGTATGTCTCCAGACGATGCAATACAGTCCGTACAACGCCTAGGCATGCTGATATCAATTGTCGATCTGATCTTGGGGGATATTACCCACTCAGAAGCAATATCTCCGAAGTTCCGGTAGACATGTAGGAGGAGTTTGACGGGCTGCACTCGTCGACCAAGCATGTCCCACGTGTCTACTGGTCAAGTCAGTGAGAATGCTGGCCAGTCATACGGGTGATATCCTCGATTGAAGGCATCGCTTACGATGTTGCACGGTGATGACGAGTTTGTCATCCCTAAACAAAATTGTGCGCCCATGGCGCCCCGAAACAAACGTACATGTGTTCCAGAAGGACGTCCTATAGATTTGGCTTGTCATGGTTCGAATTTTGAACATGCAGGTCATTCGGAACCCCGAATAATTCCACCCCAAACGAGCACTCCTGCACCACCGTAACGGTTCGTTCAATGATGTTTTCTTGGTGGGTAACGGGTACCTGGAGCTCTCCAATGAAAGTCCGGCGAGAATCAGACTGCAAGCTAAACCTGGACCCGTCGGAAACATCACACAAGCCACTGTTGCGGTGTCCACAATGCATGCTCTCTACTCAGGCTAACCGCAGGCGACAGTGAGTTGCAGTAAGTGGAACGCATCTGACACAGGTCTAACGAGCATATAGACCATCTGCCTAAGCGTCTGTACACGGTCTGTCCTTGAAATTGTCGTACCAGTGGCTGAAAGAGAACTGACGAGACAGGTCTGAGGCTGTGCTCCGCCTGTTTCTTTTGGCAGTAACTGCCAAATACCGGTCCTCATTCGGCGTTGTAACTCTGGGCGACTTGCTGTAACGTCTACTCACATTATCATCGGCTTGGAATCGTTGCCAAAGCCTGGAGATGACACTCTGGGCAATTCCAAGTTCGTCTGATACTTCCAGTTGGGGTACGCCCACATTCCAAACGGCCGATAATTCTACCACGTAAAAAATCTTTCAAATGCGTCCTTTGTGTCATAACTATTCGGTTATTTGCACTGAAATGCTTATAAGGCTGCAAAAATTTTACTTCTTTGCCTGTTTCCTTATATATCACTCTCTTCACTCTCGTCATTATGAACGTACCATCGGTGTCATCTGGTTACTTCCTGAATTTGCAATGATTCTTGGAAGATGTGTGTTTGATTTTACAGGTGATATTTTTTTAGAGTTCGTTCCGCGCTCCTTATCTCCTTAATATCCTTACTTTGGACATGAGTGTATATAGTGAATAACAAAAACGGGGGGGGGGAGGGCATGATAAACTAAAAATGGTAATGGATCATGCATCTGACAATGTAATTAAATTAATAGAATTTGTTATTTAAGCTTCTCACGCTTTTATTATTTCCTATATAAAATTGCAGATAAATTCTGTAAATAAAATTATTTAAACAAATATTCCCATTTAATCAAAATCACAATAACAACCTTATACAAGCGTATATGTACGCTAAATACAAGGTTGTTATTGCGATTTTGATTGTCACATCGGCGTGCTTCTCTTCTATTCTATTCCCTTTTAACTATATAATAAGCTACATTTCTTCTTTTAGTGCATTAATTTTCATATCCATTTTAAATGAAAGTTTATTTTATAAAAAACATTTTTAGTTGTATTTTATTTTCTGTTTAATCTCAATTATATGCTATCAGTTTATAGTCATTATTAATTAGTGCACAAGCACTAAATTATAAAAAAAAATGAACTAAAGAAAAATAACCGAGAGTCATTCGGAGAAAGAAGAAATCGATTTGAATATTCAGTTTCGGAAATTGGACGTAATAATAAAGTTACAACAAGCATTTTACTTAAAGCTAAAATGAAAAAACAAATATCACTGATTCGTCATTAAGGGCATGATAACAATCACAAAAGTAATTTTTTCTCGAGAAATGCTTTTTATTTAACCCCGTCTACTTTAGACCGCATTTTTTAAAAAAATAATGCAGAAAATTTTTCAATCATGCCTTTTTATCATTCTTGCTTTAAAAGAAGGTAACAAGTTAATTTTATAATCTTCTAAAGTTTCAAAAACTTTATATCCGATACCTTTAAGGTGTTGAAATTTTAAAATCATAAACGTCAAATAGCCGAAAATTCAAGCGATCTTCAAAAATTCAGAATTAATGTTATAAAGTATTGGTTTCTTCCTTTCTGCATGCATTCGTTGTGTAATGATAGCCCACTTGCCGCGTATTCGAGAAGTACAGGGTTCAATTCCCAGCTAGAACATTGCGGATTTCTTCGATTTCCTTGTCTTGAAAAGTTACAAATTGATTCTACAGTGGCGCTTGAACTAAAAGGGGATGAGGGATGATTCTTCACCACCAGGATTTGGCGACTGGGTCCTCAGTCCCCAGTCGCCTTTTAAAATGGGGGGTATATAAGGTATTGTCCTCCTCCTTTCTGTATGCCTTCGTGGTGTAATGGTAGCACACTTGGCACGTATTCGAGAGGTCCAGGGTTCGAGTCCTGGCGAGGGCACTGTTCGTTTTTCAGGACTCCTGTTTTTTTTTTTTTTTTAAAGAGCTAATAATGACTTTAGAATGTTACAATTTTCCTACAGGTTTCATTGGAAAGCTTTCTTTACACGCTAACTCATGTTGCAAACAGAAAAATTCTGATATGTTTAGTTTGTTTATTAAAACGAAGATATGTGCGGAGAACCAAATGAACACCAAATGAAAAAAAATCTAAATCTAATTTTGAAAAATATCCCTTCACCATATTGCGCTGTCGCCAACCAACAGTGTATGTACAAAGTTTGAACTGGATATCTCATCAAGAAGTAAATTAAAAACGATTTCAAAATTCCAATCGCAGTGAAGCAGCATGACTGAACTAAATAAAAGATTTTATTATAATTACTAGATTCAAAATAAATGAGTTTTAAATAAAGACAGATTTTTGTTGGATATGCAACGTTTACTTTGCCTCAGGGAAACCCGTCTATCAGATTTCCGGTGCTTACATACAGTTTTCTTAGAAAACTTTCAGCATATTATGGCTACCGGACTTTAAACTGAACATGTGATGTATAAAAAGTGTTTATTAAGCAGTTAAAATAATTTGAATTTGACACAGCACGGTAGATTTCTAAAATAAAAGTTCAATACTTCTCCATATTGCTGATGCCTTTACATAATTGCCTAAATTTCAGTTCGTTCAGCAAATATTCCCTGTGGTAAGGATTTAACTTTATTTAGAATGTCTGTATAATGCTAAAAAAGTAATAAGAAAGTGCGTAATAGTCTTGAACTGTTCTTTTAATTATGATGAAACAGGTATCGAGTTCAGTTAAAAATAAACATCACCAGAATTTTTGAATGGGATTAAAATTTTCATGTAACTACGACGTCATATAATCATAAATTTTCACATGATCAGATGTATGAGTCTATCTCATGCGTCTGTATCTTAAGTATCATTAAATTTGAATGCTGCAGTTTTTACTGCGCATGAAAAAGTATTGGAAAATGAATTGTTTTACTTTACAGAACTATGAAGATGACCAGAACGACGATGACGTCCCCGATTTGGACAAACTGGAGAAGAAAACCCAAGACTCCATTTCTTATTTTATATTCGGAGCTTTTGCTTTCCTTTGTGTCTTAAGCGTTTTTGTGTTTCCTGTCACCGATTTCCTACGTATGTTTGTTCTAAACTGCCGTTCAAATTCTTTGATAATTTGCGATATACTCCGATGCCGTGACCCAAGTAAGATAATTATGCTCTTTGTCAGAATTTATTTGCATAGAGAACATTACTTTTATTACAGTTTTAGTTGAACTTATAAATATTCAAAATACAAGTATGTCGGATATAGTAAACAAAAAAAGTTTTTAAAACCTAAGACGCAGAATTTCAGTTATCACGACCATTTAAGCTGCGTTCAGACGGGGACGTAAAGGGCATAAGTGGTTATAGCTGAGCTCCGTTGCCAAGGCAACCAGTCTGTGCTACGTCACAATTGGTTAGGGCTCGGGCATGGGTTCAAAGTTTCAATTACCCTGAGTTTGGGATAAGCGTCGACCAATCATAGGAAGCAAAACGAAGCGGCGTTCTACAGAGATTTCCGTGTACAAAACAAGCACAGCGAACGGGGGAAATTATCGAGCAGGAGAGAAGCGCGGGGAAAGTTGTACATACAATCCACGCATGCGCAAATTCAGCTTCTCTCATTGGCCACGGCTTACACCCCGTTCTCGCAGGTGTGGACGGAACTCCCGTATTTTATGCCCTTATGACTATGCCTCTATGCCCTTTTCGTCACCGTCTGAACGCAGCCTTAGAGGACACAGTTCTACCTATTATTAATATATGAGAAATTCAAGAACAGGTCATTCCCAGATGACCGACGATGTATAAGAACTTGTATGAATACCTTTAAGAGAATGTTAAAATGTGTGAGCAGTCTATTCATTTCACTTCAAACACTGTTCTCGAGTCTTGTGAACCACACCTTAAAGCTACTATGAACTATATAAAATACCATGGCGAATTATTATCACGTGTAAATAGCCACTAATACATTCTCTACTCGCAGAAAACATATTGTTTAAAATAGTAAGGATTTTTTTTTATTCCTTAAACCTAAGGAATGAAATGCAGTCTGCTTTTTATTTAAATCCAAACGAAAACATTTGCTACCTTAAATAAGAAGCAGATATTTACTGGCAACTTATAACAAAGAGTAGAAAGTTGCAAAATCAGGTTATATCTTTAATGAGAAAACTATTTTCTTATAATATGCAATAATAATAGTTATAAATAAAACGAAACAAAGTAATAATTCGATTATCAATGTAAGAACAATTGATAGAAATTAACCTAATAATCAAGTTAATAATAAGCTCGAGCTAATAATAAAAAACTAGATAATAATATTTTAAGCTTTTTACCACTTTAGAAAGTTTTTCAACCGAACATAATTTGAAAATAAAAGAAGAATTAAAATTTCAAATTAAAAATCATTGTTTTCATTGACAAATAATTTCAACGTGTATTTTCCCAAGAATTATGAAAAAGAAAATTGGATTAGAAATCCATTTTGTTCAAATGTACGAAATTTTATCCCGATTATTAAAGTCCCGATTATCGTTTGCGATTCCACTACCGGTGATATCACAACTAAACTTACATAAGAAAGCTCTATAAGGTTTCTAAATAATATCCAAACCATAACAAGTGAGCATTGGTTTGTCTAGAGCAGCGGTTCTTGCGTACCACCTAAACAAAAATTGAAAAACTTTTAGTACTTAAACTATATTTTACAATGATTATTTTTCAGTTTCTGTATAGAAATATTAAAAAATTATATTTTGCCATTTGTGCAACCTATTGGCTATTTGTATTAAATATGCACAAATAAAAAATATTAGATTAAATATTGGTTACATTTTAATTATCAAAATTTAAGTTATAATACTTTAATTCTAAAATTTGCTGTGAAATCTGGTCCTGTTTAAGAGAGATCAATTTGTTTATGTTTGATCATATTTCACGTAGTTGTAACCGTAAATTAAGATCCCCTTTTAATTTTTAATTTTGCTTTGTACTTATTTTTCAGATATAGCATGGAAGAATATCCTTGTTCACACAAATAAATTGTGAAAAACAGGCAATAAAAATTTAATAGTTTTATTTGAAATCCCTTCAAATTGTTTTTTTTTTCTGTTCAGCCAAAAGTTAACGAATGTGTTAGTTTTGAAATCTTCAGGGTTCGATCATAGGACATTTCTATCAATTGTTCTTTTTCTTCACTAGATAAAATTTCGGGTACATTTGGACAAAATGAATTTCTAATCCAATTTTCTTTTTCATAATTCTCGGGAAATTACACGTTGAAATTATTTGTCAATGAAAACAATGATTTTTAATTTAAAATTTTATTTCTTCTTCTATTTTCAAATTATGTTCGGTTGGAAAACTTTTTAAAGTGGTAAAAAGCTTAAAATATTATTATCCAATTCTTTGATTATTAGCGCGAGCTTATTATTAGCTTGATTATTAGGCTAATTTTTATCAATTTTGCTTTTTCTTCACGAGATTTTTGAAATTAGTAGTTAAAAAATACTTCATTTATTTGCGTACCACCGGTTTGGTTTGTTTGGTTTGGTTTATTAGATTATGGCAAAGCACTCGAGGGCTATCTGCCTAAGTAGGGATGCATTCGTGGAGACTTGCGAATTGAAACCTCGTATAACGTTACACAGGGAAAACCACGAAAAAACCTGCAGGCGCCCTTCGCGGGCTGCGATCTCGGACAGAACTACCAGTGTTCAGCGACGTTACCGCTTGGCCGCTGGTGGGCCCACAGGTTGGGAATCACTGGTCTAGAGTAACTGTTTCTAATATTTTTGTTATTTCTAGGGAGTATTGTGCTCTTTAGATGCTGCTGTAAACTATATTTATATTTTGAACACAAATTTAAATTTTGTTATGACTAAAACATAAAATAAATTATGCCATGATATGAAATTTAAACCCACCAGATAAAAAAACTTAATATTTTGTTATATATATTTAAATACATTTAAAATTAAGAACTGAATGAAAAGTAAGATTAAAACATATTTCATTTCTGAACGGAGGTAATGGCTCCCTTCATGTATTTTAAATTTAGCTTGGGTCAAAATCGTACCTCTAATAGATTACAAATGGAAATGATGATGCACTACGGTTATAAACGAAATTTTATATTTTATGATGCAGTTTTCGATTAAAATCTATTGGAAAGAAAGAAAATACGCAGCCTTTGTCTTATCACTTTTTATTTTACAGATGTTCTTTACAACAAGTAATATATAAAAAAGATGAAAGTCAATTCCTACTTAGGTCAAAAAAGAAAAATTTTATTTTAGTTACTTTTTATTAACATTATCAACGTTTTTTAGTTTCTAATTTATGAAACTATAATTTCATTACAATGGTCTGTAATTTCTGATTCTATCCCCAAAATGAAAAAAACTGTATTAACATCAAGTGTCATCCAGTACAAGTTTAAAAAATGTATTTGAACTTGAGTAGATGAAAAAAAAAGTTACTTTATTTTACCGATTGAAAATTTGAGCAGATATAGGGAGCGTGTCAACTAATGGTAGGAATTAATAATAGGTTAGGTTATTAATACGCCAGCCTCGAGGGCTATCTGCAAGGGGAGGGATGGCTCGTGAGGACTTTCTAAGGGAAACTGGCTCGTTACACGTTACACGTGGGGAAAACTACGAAAACACGAAAACACCCATGCAGCCAGCCCGTTCGCGGGATTCGAACCTCCGACCGAACTACCAGTGTTCAGCGACTTTACCGATCGGCCGCTGATGGGCGTAGGAATTTAAAAAGGAGAATCTTTCTATATGCAGACAAGTTTCCAGTTGAATAAAGAACACTTTCTGTATTAAATTCATCCTGTTTATAAAATGCGCTGTAATGTTTTTCTAAATTAATTAGATACGAAACGTGTCTTGAGGTACAAGATATGCCTTAATTCTTTTGCTTTGCACTGATTTTTTACCCAGTGACATTTAAAGAGTGCTAACAGGATTTCTACTTACAACTTTACAGTTTGCTTATTCGTGCTATATCACTAAAGCAGTAAGGCGATTGCTTCGATACATAAATGTATTAAGTAAATTTTCAGGTTTTTATTGTTTAAGACAGGCAAAGAAAAAAACAAATCCCGTTAAAATGCAGTAAGTATTTAATCATGGTAATATCAGAAACAAGTGAACTATACTTGCACGAAAAAGAGCATTATAATTTAATGAAGCTGAAAATAAAAAAATAAGCATACAATATTTTCGTAAAACTCTGCTCTATTGTTATCTTCTTGTAGAATACAGACTTGTTAAAGAGATGTGTGAAACGTCTGGCGTACCAATTACTTCTTATAAAGTGTACAAGAAACTAATGGAAAGGTATGAATTAGAAAGCGGTGAGGATGAATAATGAAGAATGCTTACAGATGAAAAGGGGCGCATTGATCTATTCGTTTATATATCACTTCTAAACATGAACTATTTCGCGAAATTGATTTTGTATAAAACTCCATTATAATAATAAAATGTTTTATAACCACAAGTTCGTTTTTCTCGTATATTTTTTGTTTGAAATAAAAAATTAAGCTTTAATAAGAATTTTCAAACTACGTTTTACGAACCATACCAAATTTGTGAGAAAGCTATTTTTAACGTTTAAGACATAAAAAATAGTAGGTAATTCGAGTTTTATTCAGCTACAATGAAAACTGAGAGGAATAGTTTAATATGAAATGCATCTATTCCTGGGTTTCCCTTATGTATAAAAATGGTACTTTTCAGAGACTTTTTACAGATTAATTGCACTTTGCTTACATTATTTAGGGGTTAGACTGATAAAGACACATATTACTTTTATTTCCTAAGATTATTTTTAAATTTTAAACTTTAAATTTGTGTTTCTGTCGGTTCAGAAACATATTGTTTCATTTATTTGTTTCTTCCGTTGCACAAATTCCCATCCGATGACGATGTAGTGGAAGAGCAAATTCCATATTTCATTTTTGTATTTTGTATATTGCCGCTTCTCTAATTCTTGAAGTTTGAAATTGTAGTTATGTGTTTTTGGTTATTGAATGTGATTTATTACAAACTGGATATGTGATGATGTCGTGTCTATGACAAAGTGCAATTAAATAGCTCCGAAGCTGTCTTTGACAGCTTTTGCAACCTCGGCAGCTCTATCAGTATAAAGTAGGTCCCCTGGGTCTTCAATGCCGATATCAAACAGTCTGGCCTGGATTGCTGGGCAATGTGATGGCGAGACAGTGGGATGTCATCTGGACAAATGTTGGTGTAACTACGCTGTCCGTCTGCAGAAATCCTCATCCCTTTTAAGTGATTTGTCCTAAGTCTGGTTATGATAGTCGATATGGCTCCGTCACAGTTCAATTCCTGGCTTGACCGATTAGTCTTTGGCTGGCAACTGCATTGGCATTAACGAGGGTGTTAACGATTGGCATCAATGAGGGGGGTGAATTTTAAAAGTATTTTTTATTTTATTCTCCATTGCTCGCTTATAAAGACACTTAATTATTATTAAGAATGGGCTCAGTCTCTTTATTTTAGCTTCATTCTCCAGATTTGCATGTGTGCTTACTGATTTTTAATTATTCTAATAATGCAAATAGAATTTGTAACTTTAATTGCCAATTTTATTTAAATTTTACTCCTTTCACCTGCTCTCTCCTTTTTTTTTTAGTCAGGGATGTAAGATAGAAAGCAAAAAACTACAGTTTAAAAATTAAAATAATTTATATTCAAATTAATTTGAATTGGTTAAAAATTAAATGAAATTTATTGCACTAGGTTTCTAAAATATTTTCTTGCTGCAGTTATTTTACTTTAGACCAGGGTTCTGAATTAAGTTTTAGTACGTTCTAGACGTTTTAGTATATCAAAATTTACAGCTTTAATCTCATCTTTTGTTGGATTTAATATTTTTTATATTAATCTGAGATATCTTTTAAAACTTTATTATAACTCGATATGAAATTATCACAAAAATCAAAGCCTTTGTGTATGGGGTCGAAGTTATTTAATACTCTTTTTAATGAATATTTTTACTTTTATTCCAATCCATTTATTCCACCAAATGTTGTTTTCAGTCGAGAAAACATTTTGGTTCTTTTGAGTCGAACACAATCTTGATGACAGCGAGGAATGGTGTCTGAAGATTAAGCTAAAGTATGTCTTTTTCTTCTCTCCAAATTTTCCCATTTCCTGACCTTTACACTTTGAAATATTTATCGCTTTTTAATGTCCTTGTTCTTTAGTCATACAAAATCGGTATGTTGCGAAATCTATGCAGTTTTAATTAATATTTTAAATGAATATTGTGTTCCTAATTATGGTAAATTGCTTTATATTTAAACGAATGGCTTCAAAAATAATTAAAAAAATTCTTTATAGTTTGCTCTATCATAACAGCGTTTTTGTTGTTAGATCCTGCAAAAGTTGCATTAAAAAAGCTTTCTACCGACTTAAGTTTCTATTAAGTAAAGTAAATTAGAAGAGATTTCAAAGAGTGGGAAAGATGAAAGCTCTGTCACATTTAAAAATACTCTAATGTGGACACCACATTGACTTCTATGGCCTATTAAATTATACACTTTTTATTCAGCATTTCATTTAAACATATTTCATCAAATTTTAATTAGAGATATATTTTTCATTCAATTAATTTAGTTCTCATTTCGCGGCAAAGTAAAAATACGTAAAATCTCAAAACATCTTCATTAAAAATTGTTAACATACAAAAAACATAAAACACCAAATACAGTTAAAAACATTTTTTTTGCAATCAAAATTAGAGTTTTTATACAAAAACAAACAATTCGGCCAGCTTGCAAGAAGACATTTTTCGGTGCACAAAACTGAACTTTCGCTTTTGGTCCCACTTGGCAAAAAGACACTGAAGGTGCAGGCTCTGACTTTCTTGACTATCTTGACTTTCTTGACAGTCCTATATTTAAAATTTTAAACGTTCTACGGCTGCTCGTTCTTAAGCTATCCGAGCTATACTTACGTATGTACACACGTCAAACAAAAAGTCTCTTCTGAATAGGTTTTAAATCCATTTTACAATCCTTTTTGGTAAAAACAGTCCTTTATTCTTTTCGTACGTAAAGATGCCACGCAAAAACATCTTTCAAATGGTTTAGAGAGCGGTTGAAATTGATATTTTCTTTAAAATATGATACTCGAAAGTTTTCGCGATTACAATACTTCCTTTGCTTCTTGCAAGGAAGTAAAAAATGAATATATTTCGAAATCCTTCACCCCAATGTACAGTTTACTATTTGCTTCAGCACACTTAGTACAAGATATTTTTATTCAAATTTCTTTATTCAATTTAATGCCAAAAATATTTTTGATTGTATTTCGTACAGTATAGAAGTGTTTATACTGGAATAAATATTTTTTATTAAAAACTTCAAAAGAAGAAAGAAGCCTTTACATTAAAATTTCTATTAAGGAAATCCTGCACTCGGGTAAATAAATCAATAAAATTCTGAAATAGCTGTTTATAAAATATTTTTCGTAATATTTTTTAGGCCGCCATCCTTATATTACCGCATACATTTCTTCAATACTTTACAAAGTATAATTCAGAAGAACCGTAAAAACTGTCAAACTATCGTACCGCCCATCTTCTAATTAAAGGTATCGTCACAAAGAGACAACCAGACTGTTATACAAACTGAAAAGTATAACAGAAAAACTTCGATGATTGTGGATAATTTAAAACATGCGTTCAAATTCAAGTATGAAATACAAATTCAACATTTCCTATTAAACATTGCATTGGTACTGAGTGTTCGCGAAGGAAAACCGGCTAGCCGAAACGTAAGCAGATCAAGATCAGTTAAATTCAATCAGCAGGGAAGCAATGCAGAGTGATTATCAGCTACCTTGTCGGAAATCATCTCTCTAAACTCTAGAACTATGCGCTTATTTATATTTTAACTAATTTGTGTTCTTGTAAGAGATGACGAAAGTAGAAGTGAAAGTAATAAAATAACTATGTTTATTAGCACAAAACCTTATAATTACATGAGAAGCAGCGCCATCAAAAACAAGATCCAATGGAGAAGACTGCCAAGCTATGTGAGTGAGTTTAAGTGAATTCAGTACTTGAATTCGCCGTGTAATACGGATGTACACTGGTGTGCAAAAGTCAAGGACGAGACGGTTTTTTTCAATATAACGTCGTCCAAAAGCCTTCCAAATCAACGCAAATAATACCAAAGGTCTCCAAGAAGTAAAAACATTGGTAATGTAGGTGAAACTTATCAAGAAAGAAATGAAGAGAATATAAAGGAACTTTATTGAAAACGTAGCATGGAACACAATACGACACACCAGATATATCCATGTGAAGGTGTCCAGCAAGAAACATCCAGCCTATAGTAGGGGATATGTCGTCAATGAGTTGTTAACACATTGCTGCCGATTCCTTTTGTAGCGCCAATCACAGTTCCGGATTCGTTACTTTTAATAAGTTACATGCTGCCACGCGTCTCCCTAGAAAGACCTATACATGCTTGATGGGATTTAGATCCGGAGACCTTGCCGGCGAGTTTATGCGTTCAATATCCTAACCCTACAACACCTTTTTGACAGCAACTGTGCGATGAGGTGGAGCGTTGTCGTCCATCAAGAGGAACTGAGGACCCATAGCACCTCTGAAAAGTTGCACATAAGAAGAACATCGTTACAATAGCGGGCCTCGAGGACTGAACCTCTTTGAAAGAGGTGAAGGTCCTACGACTAGCAAGCATAATGCCTACTCAAACGAGAACTCCGAGACCTCCAAACCCGTCCCTTTCGATTATGCTGGAGGAGATATTACGTGTTCCCCGCTCTCTCCAGACGTGTGTGCGTCTAGAATCGCTACTCAGACTAAATCTTCTCTCATCCGTAAACCTGTAGTACCTGTAGGGCAATATAACGGTTGTCTGCTGCCGTGGTTACTTGTGGACGACCGCTGCAGAACCGTCGGACAGCTGTTCTTGTAGTTTGAAATGCTTTCCAAAGTCGTTAAACGATGCTATGAGCTATCCTGAACTCCACAGCCATACTTGTCGCACTTCGACCTTCCTCAATCTTTACAGTGATTCGACTTCGGGTAAAATCATCCGGATGTCATCTAAGAGATTCTTTGTGATTCATTTCACAGTGAGACAGCAATTCGATGTCGTTTAATATACGCCATACAACAGCTTCCCAGAAATGCTGAGTTCTCAGTGCCGACGCACTTTTTACCCTTTCGACACTCCCTCATTAACTCTAGCTGCATTGTATGCGCATGTACTACCGTACCTGATTTTAGTAAACTTCCTGATCGGTGTTCCAGCCCGTTGTGCCTCTTTATTCCGCTGATAAATTAATTTCCCAACTTCGTCCTTAATTTTTGTACACCAGTGTAATTAGTCGTCAAGAATTGGAGTTGGCTCCGGGTTTATGATTTGTTTTATTTATGAGTTTTAACATCTATAGATGAGAGCTTTACTTTAGTCAACATGATTTTTGGTAAAATTATGTAGACATTAACACCAAGTACTGAACTTCTGTTATTGTGTTTATAATCTAGTCTTTGCAAATCGCATAGCAGCATTTACTTTCTGTTTTGAATTTCTGTTTTGTTTCTTAGCTGTAGTCTGTAGATTTCAGGAAATGCATTAGTTTGATTTTACTTGCTTTTGTGCTATCGAAAAGCTGAATCTAATTAAAATGTAGTCTACTTATAATTTATGTTTGGATGATAAATTACTAATGTCAGCAATATTCAGCCCGTTGGGTGCTATTGAGTTTGGATGAAAAAATAATGTGCTGTCTCCATTAGCACAGTAACTTCAAGTTTACGGCAAAAAGTATTTTAGGAAATACGTCTTTGGGTAAACAATAGATGAATTTAAAGTTTTCGATTATTTAGAGATACATTTTCTGGTCTGACATTCAGTAAGTTACAAAAAGGGAAACTGAAATGAAGACTTTCATTTCTTCTTTTTCATTTTTTTCCCTTTTCCTTAAAGTGCCAAATAAGAGAATTTTGCCGCAATTATGTATTTTTTCCTCCCTACACAAAGAACGATAAAAGCTCGTCCTCTTTATGGATCAATATTTCTTTGTGAAGACTAAAAGGAAGTGTGAAGTTTCACGGAATAACCAATTGCATGTGGGATTGCAGTGACCAATTTGCAAGTTGAACTCAACTGACATAATAACAGAAAAGAAGCGATTTGGCGGCAGAAGTTTATTCTAATTATTGTTAAAATAAACTTATCCTTATAATTTCAAGGTAAGAAACTTAAATGCTAAAAAACAGCTTTAACTAATTAAAGTATTAACTAAGTTTCTAATTTAATTTCTTGCAAAAAATTAGAATGAAAAATATCATGATTCGTTTTCTTTTTTATAAAATTTTTATTTTAATAACTACTATTTTCAATATTATCCTTCTCTTGTGAACAGTATTCCATTAAGTAATAACTATAATATACGTCTTCTTAATATATAAAAACTAAGTATTATGATCAACTACTTTCTATGAATGCGTTAATATTAGTAATTTCTTTGAACCGTACTTCCCTGTTTCATTGATACCAGCGAATAGATTTTCCAATATAAGGCTGTTATTTGCTATGTAATAGTTATATATCGGCTTTCCTTTTTAAAATTGAGTTCCTATTCGTATCTATATGTGCATGCAATCCTTCGACACAAACATTTTTTTTATTTAAGTATGATATTTAGAGCCTTTTCAGTATGTTTCATAATTACGCGTTTATGTAAATATTTGCATATATAAAATGTTAGATAATGCATATATAAAATGTTAGATAAGATAATCGACATATATAATTTAATATATGCTTAAACGTAAAGCCTATCTGTGTTTACATATAATATACGTTTGAAATAAAGAAACTCTTAAAAGCACAATATCTAGCTTCTAAATATGAATAGTTTATGAATTTTCATTTTGAACGAAGATCGATTTGAAGTAAGAAATAAAATCAGGTGACAGAAATCATTGATAAATTTTGGCGTTATTGAAATTTGGACCAATTTAAAACTGTTCTTAGCTGCAGGAAAAATAAATAATGAAGTGCAGTTTTGCTGTGATTTGTACGTTTGGCATTGCTCAGAAATGATACACGCATCGTAATCAATAATATTTTTTCATATAAGCGTCTTTTAAGATAAGAGTAAATTTTCATTTTTTTGATAAAAGGCTTGCTTCTGATTTTAGTTATGTAGATGACCATCAATGCCATTCATAGAATTTCATCTCAGACATAAATGGAATTTAGAATCAGCAAACATAGTATGTGACGAACATGTATTTCTATATTTATTAAATATACTACATATATCATGAATAATTCTTTTGAAACGTTCATAACAATGGAAATAACTTTGTATAAGTAAAAAATGCTCCCTTTGGTAAGAATTTAAAATTAAATCAATTACTTTAATGAAAATTTGTTCCCGAGTAGAAGAAGAAAAGGAATTATACTATTTTCTTTGTTTTGTTTAATATTACCTTTAGCACGTTATCATTAAACGCAATCACTTCGTTATTACAAGTCTGAATTTTAGATCATATTCTGTTATTGAAAGGTTTGCTTTATTTTCATGTAAAAAACTATCTTGTTTAGAACTTTGCTTTTCTCTCATCCTTAATTAGTATTATTGTTGATTCAAAGTGGTTAAAAATGAACAAAATGCGAAGCGAAATATTTGGCATTTATTCGAAATCCTTATTCTGTTAACAAATAAATTATAAACCCTATTGTAGTCTGTTGATTTGGTGTAGGCACATCAGCGAAATATTTGGCATTTGTACGAAATCCTTATTCTGTTAACACATAAGTTATAAACCCTATTGTAGTCTGTTGATTTGGTGTAGGCACATCAGTTTCATTTGTTCCCTTCTGTCTTACCCCGTAACCATGGCAATAGATGTGTTTATTTCAAAGTAATAGGCTAGGGAACTGGAAAATTAGGTTTTTGTGAAAATTCATCTTAGAAAAATAAAACAAATTGCTTATTGTTAATTTATTGAGCAATAAACTTTCCTTCTTATCTGTGTTCCTTCTTATCTGAGTTAAAGATTTTAAAAACGCAAAATCAAGGACAAGAAAACTGTAGGCCTTTAACTTGTCGTCTCGTATGTAAAATCCTCATTTGCTCCACTTTAAATTCTTTTAATTTCGTATCATAACATAAAATTCAAATTACTTACATTCAATTCAAAATATATGTACTTTTGTAATGTTTATGAATGTGAGTAGGGAAGAGAATTAACGGTCTTAAGCGCATGCCTCTTATGTTTCCTTATGTTTTTCAGATAGTTCGGATGGTAAAACTGTTAAATTCGTTCTGTTAAAAATAAATACAACATTTGTAACGTCTCTAATAAAAGCAGTTAAAAAGAGCTGTATTATTGTTGAAAATTTCAAAAGCAGAAAATGAATGATCTGTTCATATAGAAAAACTAATGAGAAACTTCAAGATCAGATGTGTGCCATAAAATTACCGTCTAACAGATCACCAAACTCCATTTGACCTTAACCTTCCAAAGAAAAAGAAAAATGCTCGAAGAGGGTCTATGCTATTGACACTGTTACCAATCTCACTTGTCTGACAAGGGTCAGCACAACCCTACGACATTCATCATGGTAAGGAGTCAAATGTGTCTGTCGCTGGCAAGAGTCTTGAGCACCATATAAATGACAGCCCGACTTTAGTTCAGTTCCGCCTCCAGTTCTAAAGAAAAGCCAAGGCACGGAGCAAGTGTCTCTCACCCCTTTTACCATACCTCAAACCTCTCGATAGGCCTTTCAACTAACCGAATATTTAGAACGCCCCATGCCGCACAGACACTATACTTATACAAACGTACATGTGTTCTCCGGGATTCAAAGCCGGGCCCTTCGGTACCTCAGCCAGAGTCACTAAACACTATCCTGAGCAGAGATTTTTTTTCATATTACATGTAGGCGTAATCTTGCTCGAATTGGGCAACGGTTTTGACAGTGGAGTTTGTTTTATAACGAGGATTCGAGAAACAGTCTTCAGATTCTGAAAATTTATTCCAAAAGAATAGAAGTTCTGCGAAGTTTATAAGGCCTTCTTAGCATGCCTTCTTGGTGTAGAGGTCAGCACGCTCAACGCGTATTCGAGAGGTCCGTGGTTCAAGTCCCGGCAAGGGCATTGCTCATTTTTCATCTTTCCCGCTTCGAAATAACCTAATGGTTCGACAGTGGTGCCCAAACTAAAAAAGGTGAGGGTTGATGATTCTCCACCACCAGGATTTGGCGTTTGGATCTCCTAATCTCCAGTCGCCTTTAAAAGGGGGAGTATATAAGGTATTTCTCCCGCCTTCTTAGCATGCCTTCGTAATGTAGTGGTCAATACGCTTGGCTCGTATTCGAGAGGTCCGTGGTTCGAGTCTCGGCGAGAGCATTGCTCATTTTTTATCTCTCCTGTTTCGAAGACTCCACAATTTAAACATGGAATTTCAGTGAAAATCCTTTTTCACAAACTTTTGCAATGATTATAAGCAGAGAATGATAAGTAGAACCCTGTCTTCGAATGGTAAAGATACAATTTTTATAGCAACACAAAGCATTTCAACTGTTCAAAGCAGCTGCTCACTTGGAAAAATGACGAAAATTACTCTCATTCGTTGTTTATTTCAAGGAGCAGATCTGAATGCAGTTCAGATGGGAAAGAATAAGGATTACTACAATTATTCATGTCAAAATTTACTTCTATCATTCGTATCAATCGTTAAATGTTGAACTATGGTTTCTCGCAGAATGCGATATTTTACACGATCAAATCTCCGGTTATAATCTTTTATCTGCCATAGCAATTTGCTTCCTTGATAACGATTACTAAAAGTAGTAATGAAATTGTCTTTATTCATAATAAATGAGAGCACCTGTATTCCTGTGGGAAAGGGTTGCTTTAAATATTTACTTATTGCTAAGTGCTCTTGGGCTATTGTTTCGGAGGAAGAGATGTATGTGCAGAGAACTTTGCAAGCAACACTGTATCATATTAAGATGTAGATAAAACTAGCCTATTTAACTGCTACTGTAGGAAGCAAAATATACCAGTATAAACGTTAGGATACTTTGAATAGTACCTTAAAACAGTTCATTGGTTTTAAATTTAGGCATGTACCCATTTTCAGATGTTGAATCATATATACTTAAATTTTATAAGGTATTTTTCCTAAATTACTTATTCTTCAATATTTCTTTTTTTTCTCCATCAAAATATTTTCCGATTGAATTCTCCTTAAAATCTGTTTAATTTCAAGTTCATTGTGTGTCAGAACAGTTAAGCTATTCAGAAGAATAATTAACTTCATCAATTCAAGGAAATAAATGAAATATAAGATAAAGGGATTAAAGAAGAAGTTAAACATACACTATTAATTCATTAAAACATTTTAATTCTTTTAAAACGAAACGAGTTCAGATTTATCCTCGTATAACGAAAACGTTGAATTCGTTATTTATCGTTAAAAATGAGATATAATGTTATTTAATGAGAACGCGTTATCCTCGTTTTAGCTCGTTTTCAAAATCAGTTAAAACTAAGTCGAAAGAGAAAGCAGTGTACGGTTAGATTAGATTATATTGGATTTATTATAATAAAGCAAAGCAGACTAGGATTGTCTGTCCAAACGAAAGGATGCCTTCATGAGAGACTTTCTAAAAATGTTATATGACCTAGTATTATTTGATAGCACTGCTTCAAAGTTAAAAATGCATTGGATTTAGAATGATGAATATACTTGCAGAAATGTTAGTTATCTATTTAATTGTTGAATGTTGTAGAATATTGCCCTTCTGGGATCCAAAGCGGCCTTGATCTCCTGATACATTTCACATATTCAGTACATAGCCGCTAGTATCAAGTAGCTAGGCACACCTTTTTCTTTGAGCATCATTAAGTCTCAACGCTTTGTAAGACTATGCAATGGCACTCTGCAAAGCAGCAGCACAATAGTAAGCCTCATTACACAAAGTATCATTATAACTACTACTTCAAATGTACCTGCATACATCTTGTCTCTCTCTCTTTTAATTTTATTGTTCAATTGTAATTGCATTTGTATACACTCTGCATTTATGCATAACCCTTGTTTAGTTTTGCTGCTTATTGCTACAACGGAATTCAGTCTTCGCTTCTGTAGAACGCCGTGTTCGTTTCAGCTTCGCTGTGATTGGTCGACGCTTATTCCAAACTCGGCGTAAAGTTGAAAACTTTGAACCTTATGCCACGAGCCCTAAACCAGATTTTGTGACGTAGCACAGACTGGTTGCCTTGGCAAGGGACCTCGGCTTTAACCACTTATGCCCTTTACGCCCCCGTCTGAACGCAGCTTTACGCCGCCGTCTGAACGCAGCCTTACATTTCTTCAGCACCTCGAGTTCTTCGCCTCGCGCATGCGCGATAAGAATCTCATCTCTGCGTGATTGCAAAAAGCGAACTTTTGCCTTCTGTTTTTACGAGTCCGTGTATACACTGTATTCATCGCTGAGATTTATGTTATCCTAACGCTATGTATATATTTTGATTTATTAAAAGAGTTTATTTTTTGTAGGAAGTCACTTCTCGGAATGTTGCTGTCAGGAGGCACAACGAATTGTCCCGGAAGACGCAAAGTTTGGTCGTACACCAGCTCGGCTGGAGAGCGGTTAAGTTCACCGTTAAAAGTGGTCCGAAGTCCTCCATAATTAAAATGACCACCGTTTCTGGCCTTAGTAGTAGCCAAAGACAAAAATGGCTAATGCATGCGATAAAAAAGAGAAAAAATAGTTTATTATGCGTATTAGAGCACCCCTTTGTTCCAACAGCATTCATTCATTCATTCATTCATTATCAATATACATGGTTACAAACATTGCAATATGTAATACGTCAAGGGTATTTTAAATTATATCATTTATATATTACATTAAAAAATAAGATTAATATTTAATTCAATAATATGGCAATATTTGTAATGCGTCCGATGGGGGAGTTAAAAATTTATAAGCGAATTTCTGATCAAACTGAACATTAATTACATTTGCTAACAATGTACGTTTTGATATACTTTAAAACGTGTTTAACGCATTAAAACGTAACTGTAATAAAAGTGTTTTTAACGTCACATATTATTATTTACCTCATAACAAAAGGTTTTTTTTCTTCACAGTAAAAGGCAAGAGACATCATGCGGGAAAGCTTATGGAAAAGGGAATTCAGACTTCTTCTAAAACGTTCTGTAATAACTGGGATTCCAGAGCTGCTTGCTACCAGAAACAACTTAAGGAGGTTCTTGAGATTTTGCGTATTTTTAATATGTATATGTGGATTTTTTTATACTACATCAATATTTCTACGCGTTTATTGGAAATACCCTACAGTTATGAACGTGAATGTTGAATATCCAGAAACGGTTGAAATACCAGCCTTTACATTCTGCAGTTACAATGGGTGAGTTCATATTATACAGTTGGGAGTTACGTAAAAGTTATCAAAAATTGCTTATATTATCTTGCTTTATAAATAATATGTATTCTTAAAACTCTCGAAGAGTATAGCTGGCATTTAGGCTATTAACTTTCTAAATATTGAAACAAATCTGTTAGGCTTAGTTAGCTGTCTCAAACAAATCAATTCGAAGCTCAAGATTACGAAAGCACTTGACAAATCTCCAGTCGAACAATCATTAATTCAGAGGAATAATATATTAAGGGGACTCATACACCTTAAACCCCCTCATGATCTTCGAATATGTGACTGTTGCAGGAATTGAGATATTTTATTTATTTTAAAAGGAATTACTTCCAACTTTTTATAGCTGACTACATAATATAGCTGCTTTGGAAACTAGTAACCAGAAAGTTTTTTGTTGCCACAATATTTTTGTAATTTAATCCTCTTTGTACAAAATATTTCGCATGTTTCCATCTTGCGCGCATGATATTTTAAAAATGGCTATGGTACATACTTGAAATTGGATGGATTCTTTATATGGGCGCTATTTTCTAACTGAACCAACAATCTGATGAATATTTTAGTATTGAAAAATTTTATGGACGGAAACATTACAAATTTTTTTAATAAAATACATTTTATGAAGTCAGCTCCAAATAAAATAAAAATTTAACATGAAATTTTTAGAATTTTAGGTTCACGGTAGTTTTCAAATATTATAAAAGCTAATATATTAAATATGGAATTAAATTATGAAACAGAATGTTTTAAACTGTGCGCGCAAGTTGGAAACATGACGAAAAATGTTGTCACTAAGCGGATTAAATTATAAAAATATTTGTGGCAACACAAACTTTCTGATGACTATTTCAGAAAGCAGCTATATTATGTAGTCAGCTGTAAAAAGTTGGTAGTAATTGCTTTTAAAATAAATAAGTTACTCCAATTCTTGCGACAGTCACCTATTCGAACATCTTATGGGTTTTAAGGTGTATGAGTCCCCTTAAGCTTTTAAGCACATGGTTAATAATAAGAGATAGTATTTTCTGTCCTGTATTATCTTCCGTCATGAAAGGCACTTACACCATTTCTATATAAATATCCCATAAATAAAAAAAATATTCGATACATTAATTTTCATCAGTGTTTAAAAGAATAAAGAAGAGTTTAATTTATCCATAATTATACGAAATTATTAGCCCAAAGGGGCGGTAGCCCAGATGAGTGATTAGTTTCAAAACGGCATTTTGTGGCGTTTCACTATAAACGCGAATCGCTTTTTAAACTCTTGGCACCAAATATTATCAGTAACTGTAATAAATATATTTAAAGAAACTAAACGATGAAGAATCTACCTGAATGTATGTATATTTCTCGCATTGTGAAAAAACGACGGTCCCTAGAGCCATCAAATTTTGAATAACGTAATCCTCTACGCGAACATGGGCAGTTGGACGCCCGAATTTTGACTTTCGAATTTGTTTTATTAGCTATTTCATATTTCGTAAACCTTTAACGAATTTTTAATTAGCAAACTTAAAGATTTCAAAGGGAGCAATGGCTAGACAGTACGGAAAAGAAATATTTTTATCTCCAGCGAGCGAGACTGCCTTTCGGAAATTCTAAACATATGTTGTTTCTAAATTTGTGATATTGCTTTTGAACTGAATTTTATGTGGTTTAAATGCGAAGAACATGATTGTTAATAAATAAAGGTAACACACAAAACGTCAAAAAAAAAAAAAAAAAAAGGGGGGGCGGGGGGTTTTTTGGCTGCAATATAAAATCTGAAAGCTTTCAGTTCTCCCTTTTTTTCAGTTATTCTCCATTTTTTTTTTCTAATTATAATGCAATTTTCTTTAAAGTAAAAGTTTTAGCAGGAAAATACTTATTGCAATTATATATAGGATCTGATTTTCTGTATATTAATTTTCTGTCTATCACTGATCTTACGAGATATTTTATTTCAGCCACTAATTAAACTAACTAGTATGTTTTGTAGTTCAAATCAGCAATTAAGCTAGTAAGACAAAGCAATTGATTTTCTAAATAAATGTTAGGCACGCAAATACACGTAATCAGAATTTGCCAAAATTTACAGTACTTTCTGTTGAAGTGAAACATTAATTTTTCACAACAGCTGTGCCTGAAATTCTCTCAGAAGATCCGCAGTTTCTCTTGCAGCAGGGAAATAAAGTGAATGTTTTCCTCTAATCCAATCAAATCATTCGTGTTTTCTTCTTAACTAACTTTCATGTGTTCTCCGTTTTTTGAAGAAAGAAAGCATAAATAGAAGGCAGGTATGATGCATAACAACTTAAGATTGATTACTTGGAATAAAGATATGTTATTGTTATAACGTATTTGTGCAAACAATAGAATAAATGTATTGCTTCACGGCATAAAAGAGTAACTTTCCTAAATTTCCATTTTATTCATTTACTGTCATTTGTTTTTCAGAATACAAGCTTCCAATTTCTGTGCAAGATTTCCGGATTTGTGCTCACCGCAGAAAAACTATACGGAATTCTGCAAAATGTATTTCTATTTTTGTGATAGAAACTATATATATGATAATAATATGACGGTATGTATAAATGTATAATTATTGGTGTGAAACCAAACATCGTACAAACAACATATGTTTATTTTCATCTACGTGCTTTAAAATCCTACGCACGTGTATATATATATATATATATATATTATATCTTGAATATGAGATGAATTTTAAGCGCATTTTTTATATTTTTAATTGCTTACTCGCCCATAAACTCAGAGGCCTGTCACCTTAAGCCATAACGAAAGGTTTAATGTATTTTAAAATTATCTAAATCTTTCTTGAAATATTTTCCACGTAATTTTAGATATACGCATTTTCATAAATCCGCTTGAAGCCCCTCTCACTTAAGATTCACTATTAATCGCTTTCTCACGCGCTGCTGTATTGGAGCGATCCGGAAAGCATCAAGCTTGGGATAAAATGGTCCTCGGTTTAATATACAAAAAAACAAGAATAGATACATGTACAGACAGAAACAAACAAATACAATTAGTATTGTTTGTTTTTCTCTATTACATGTATCTATTCTTGTCTTTGTTTTGTATATTTTTATGTATCTGTGTTATTCCAACGGCCATGCACACCAACAAAGCTATTGTCACGTAACCATTGTCAAACAATAATCCTCAGTCCCTGTTTGGCCATGTATTGATCTTTAGATCTGTGTAAGTAACTCCCGAGGCAGCCTCACGGGGGGGGGGCTCCAGGGAGTTGTTGTTCCTAGATAGGGAAGGGCGTGGGACACACGACTGTCTACCTATGTTAAACACCAGGCATCCCCGTCCTCCTTTACCTGTCACCTGGTCCTCGGTTTTATCCTAACAATCAGCAGAAAGTCAAGAAGAACACACGCTCCACAGGCAAACATTCACCAAGAGAGAAAATTTCTAATCCAACCTAAAAGCCGAGCAACTGGTTAGCTATACCAATCGTAGTGGGCACCACGATACGGCTTGGTCCAATAACAAACAAGGCGTGACGACAATAGGTGTATTCCGGAGCCATCGTTCGCAAATTTGAAAGAGTTGAAGTATTTAGATTCGCCATCGAAGAGCTCTTTGGTGATGGCGGTAGAGTATTTCACTGTCTTGACTTGGACCCAGGCTCCTAAAAATGACAGAGCCTAGATCCGAGTTATCTTAAAAAGCCCTCCATTTTTACTCCTTTGCCGCTCAGACAGTATAGTGATTAGGAAAGCCGACTGCGATACCAAAGCGTAAGTGTTCGAATCTCGGAGAATGCATGGTGTATTTGTTCGTACCTTCATAGGAGGCATAGGTGGCCCACCTATTAGGTGCCTCCAAAATAAAGTGACCACCGCTTTTGGCCTTAGTAGTGGCCATTGCCTGTGGATGGTTTAGGTCCGCCATCGGAAACAAATATTCTTCCCTCGACGCGGAGGAGGGGTGGCAATGCGTGTGTTGGCTGTCCTACTTACGCGGCTATCGGCTCCGAACCCCCCTGAGATGGTTTCTCGTACTGTTCATATGGTGGGAATGGGCAGTATGGGGAAGATTAGCTGCCTTTACTCGAAAAAGACTAGAACTACGCTAGATCTTGGTTTTAGACATAATCTTGGGAGTTGGAACTGCTACCAGGTAGAAAGCAGCAAGCTGTTACACAGTCAACTATTCATCTGCCTTCCGATATGAAATATTGGAAGAGGATAGGAGACTACGTTCTTTCTTCGCTCATCTCTTAGGAGATGGAAATTTTACAACTTAGAGGGCATGAACTGTGCACGAATTTCAAATGCCGGTTGTAAATATTGTAAATAGTGTATACAGTGTCTGTTTCCATTTATTTCCTCCTTTCTTCATCTAGTATTGAATAACTTCATATTGCATTTATTTGTGCCGTCATTTAAGTATCAGCATTTGTTTTCGTTCACTGTCACGTGACCTCTAAGGACCAATGGAGAATATCTTCTATCCCAAGCTTCGGATTGGTACCATAGACACATGGCCGCCTTAAAACTCAAGCACTCAGGATCAAGCTCCAGCCAATGAACTAGCATCCTTATGGGGCCTCACTGGCTTGGACCTTAAAAATCAAGTGACCACTGCGTTCTCTCTAGATACTCCCGCCACCACGAACTCTCTGGTGTGTTCCTGGCATCTTCATTGATATTGAAAAAGCGTTTGATAAGGTTTGGCACCCAGGCCTCCTTATCAAACTTATCGGGAACAATTACCCGCCTGCATTATATCAGTGTATTAAAAGCAGGTTTCCCTCAGGACTCGAATTTTTCGCTTTTTCTCTTCAACATCTACATAAATCATCTTCCCAGTCACAAAGATGCCATTATCGCCTGCTATGCAGACGATACTGCAATTCTCAGCAAATCCATCAAATCGCAAAGAGCAATTCAAAACCCCCAAAATGCAATAGATTATATCTTCCCAAGGTTTAATGTTTGGAAAATCAAAATTAATGAAAGCAAATCACTACAATTTATTTCCAAAAGAACCCTTTCAGAAGACATCTCAATAATATCGCAATTAATAATATCTCCATCCCAAATGTAAAATGCATTAAATAGTTAGGTGTTTATCTTGATCAAAAACTAACCTTCAAAAACCATATCGAAAATATCTGTAAAAAAGCCAACCAAGCAATAGGCAGTTTCTGTGCAGTTATACGGTGAAATTCTAAACTTAGTCTCGCTACAAAAAGAGTTATTTATCTACAAGCTATCCGCCCCATTTTAATGTATGCTTCCCCAGCTTGGGCTCTAATAATGATAAAGGCTCTGTTAAGGTAAGAAAGAAACGAAACGCGAAAAATGAGAAATTATGTTGCAAATTTTTCAAACATAAGAAATTGTTTGGAGGTAAGTTAGGAGAATATATGCAAAATTCTAATGTTATGATACTGTACTTCACTGGTTACTAGTCGATTTCTATTCTTTAAGCATGACACTATGAATTTCAACAGTGCTATATGTTCATCAAACAAACGAGGAAGTGCTTCGTTGCTGTCAGAAAGGATATTGTTTCTCCGCTCTTGGTAACACAACGCGGACACAATGCTTTCAGATTCTGAAATATGCATTGTTACTCCATTTTGCTTCTTTTTCACACGAGTTGTTGTAACACTGGCAACGTTTTGAAGATATCTTGTATAGAAACATATTCTTTCTCAATAAGACAAAAATCTCACTCCGTGCTAATGAGTTTTGTACTCGGAATATAATTTTAGCATTCTGAAAATTTTATTAAATTCATTATTCTAACTGTTTAATAAAATGCTGAAATAATTAAACAGAGATAAATGTTACCTTTTACCACTATTATTAATTGTACTATTTGTATTTTACTTGAAAATATGAAAATAAAACAAAACTGCTACTTTGTTATTACTACGTTTTATTTCAGTTGCCTGCTGTTTCTACTTACGAACTTCCTGATTTAGATAGAATAGAATATAAAGAATTAGGGAACAAAGTTGAAGACTTGTTAGAGCTGTGTGAAATTAGATATACTAGCGGCCACGCTCCTTGTTTGTAAGTCTATTATACGTTACATTAAAACAAATACTTTTTTTCATATATATTAAATTATGTGAATGAAACAGCATTTTTGTTGCCGCATTCAAATGTGTAATGGTAATTTTCCGAAATATTCAAAGGTTTTTCAAAACACAATTAACGTTTTATATGACTTTACATAAATTTACAGGAACTGAAGAGGAAAATAATCATGAAGGTAAATACATTTACCTTTTTGCCCTTTTCATAATGGATCCTATGTGACATATCGCTGTTTGTATATGTTTGATTACTTAATAGTAGTGATAAGCTAATGGGAAAAAAGACCTTCGATATTTTGTCACTAAGACAGAAAGATAAATAAATGTATGCTATATGCAGCTGAAGGAAAGTAAAAATTGTGGTGAAAATCTTTGCAGTGAAATCTTTTGGTGCCTTTTATGATTGTTTACTTGAAGTGACTGCCACAGTTTGCCTAACTCTTGTCACATTATTGCAAATGACAATCCTATGCTTCTGCGTATACGTTCATAATTCGGCTTTGTTCAATAGCATATGATTTCCATCTATTCCCAAATTTAGACGATACAATAATACAAAGTATTTTCTGTTTATTTTGAGTAAGTGTTTATCATTTCATTCTTGAATTTAGTTTTAAGATTCATCCCTTATACGGCATGATTTAAGAGGTTATCTTTTTAAATGACGGAAAGCGCTCGACGCCTTTCCTGACATCAAGGAAAGCTAATAGATTCTCCGTCTCACCTCATTTCAGTTTACTTCATGAAGCAGGACGCACTTATGTCTGAGTTTATACCTGAAAATGTGCATATACTAAAAGAGAGAGTGGTACGGCTGAAATTTATGTAAAATATAAATTAAGAAGCTTCATTATCATACACACTTACTACAAGCATTTTCGAAGTAATAATTTGGTTTATCAGTTCAAATTAATCTCCTCCATTACGTAGACAAAAATGTTGATGATGTAGCAATATTGACTGGAAGCTATAAAAGACATTCATTTTCATAGTTTGCTGTTTCTAGAAAAATAGAAAATAGTCTTTAACTCCCCTTTGAGCTTAAAACGGTAAGTGTTCTGGTTCTCGCTCTGCATAGGTTAATGAGACAGCGAATGAGACAACACAATTTGCTGATTTTTCCCCTCTCGTGGATGAGAAAATACAACTTGCTGAATTCTAAATGAAAAATTTCCCTTGTCTCTTACTTGGATCTTAGCATTTTAAATCTCTAGAATTCCGAATTGGCAGTCGAGATGTAACACACTTTTTTTCCCAAAGATCAGTTGAACTTTCATAAGCAAATGCGCTATCATTATACAGTTTTTATAGAACATGGAGACTTTGCTATATCCAGTTTTGCTTTGGCCTGTGTCCAAGGGGTGTTTCTGAAGCTAAAATATGTCTTTGACGGGTGACAGAGGACGTGGACACTTGGTGGCTAACATTGGTAAACAGGTATTGTCACACCCATACCACTATCTGCAGAGCTGGCCTCTTCCTCGAGGCCAAGAGGTGTTTCATTGGGAGTTTCTTTTAAATATTAATTGGTTGTATTGCCAAACCAGGTCTGCAGCGCAGTAGCAACAATCGCTTGCCCTAAGTCGTCAGAACTTTGATTATGTGTTTGACTATTAGAGGCTTCACTGTAGCTTTGACTATGAATTTCCTTACCAAACTCACAGATTGAGAAAATCAAGCCAAAATAACTTGCAATCTTGGGTAGCCTATATCGTCAGCAATTCACAAACTCAGAAGCCATTAATATTGTCTTCTTCCTTTACAAACTTTCCAACTTCTCCTCTTTTAGTTTTAATCGTTGTTGATATTTTATATCCTAATCCACAATAAATATAGACTAGTTACGAATACCACAGGTATGCTCTCGTATTACTTGCCATATACTTTGAAGAGCTGGCGCTAGATCTGTGCGGATTAGTAGCCTATAGTCGGAAGCCTTCCATTCAAGAAACGAAATGAAATGCATATTGCATACAAGAAATGCTGCATATTATTGAATAAATGGCTAATAATGCTCTCGATTTGGCAGGCCTAGAATGTTTGGTATTCAAACGCTCTTTGTGATTCTAAGGCTGAACATAGATGAAGAGCAAGGGAAGCGATAAATGCTTTAAAAAAATATGTGGAAAATTTTAAGAAAGCGTGGTAGTCGTCGCTTATGACAAAAATATCAAATCTGGAAACATTTCTTCAATAAAAGTTGTTGTGTCAAAGAAACGCTTTATGTAATCAATTTATACCTGGTGATATAAATGCCCTAATTATTGAGCATTAATGCAGTTGTGGATATCAGTCCACAGGAATAAGATGATATTGCTTAAGTTTAAAATTGACGTTTTTCTTTAACTAGCGTCACTGCAGAGTTAGATCTAAAAAAATTGATCTAATTTTCCTAAATCGCTGCAATTGCTTTTATTCGATCTGGCTTAACATATGGCGATACTGATCTAACTTATTACCGTTTAGGACAATTCAGTCTAAAATAGAAGGGTTTTGCACGGACTTTTCTCGAACCCTGTGTATGAATGAAATGAGCTGTGTTAGTTGTTAGATCAGATAGTTCTCTTTTGTTTGCTTGTTTTTAGATACCTAAAAAAGAAGAAAATGGTAACATCATGGTGATGCAACTAAAGAAATATTAGCAACTAAAGATAAATAAAACATTTTTTGTAAAACTGCATTAAAACTTTTTATTTGATTTCTTACATGATTTACACGAAGAATATTATTTGAATTTGTTCTGAAGCCTTAGTCGCTATGAATATATCAACGAATATACAGCAGGAAGGGAGAAGATGTTTCTCTGACATTTTGAAGTTTATGCTTTAATATTATTATTAATTAAAAAAATATTGCGAAATTTTTTCATTAATATTACATATTTATATTTCTCACTATCATATAAATTGTTGGTATATTACTGAGCCACTATACTTGCACCAAATTACGTTAAAAATGCAATAACTTCATTAAAAGATTTTGCGAAATACTACTTCTTGACCAGATATTAGGATATATTGTAATGTTTAAAAGAATATAATGCAATTGTAAAACAATCTGTACTTTTCGTAGAATCGTCAAAACTTATCTTTTTTTTTTGCATTCTTTAAAATCGATGTTGAAGTAACGGGCACTTTATGGTAAGTACCCTATTCCTAGTTTTATGACAGAAAAATTTCTGATTGAGACAGTTGTCACAGCTTTTACAGATACGTGTCCTTATGCTGTGTTTATCTCTTTTTTTGACATATAAGTAAAGTTAATGGCTACTTTTGAAAGAAATTTGTCGAAAGCTTGGTCTTAACATGTGATTCTTTAAAATTAATACCAAATACAGTATCGTGATTTATCGATAAAAGCGAATTGAAGAATGTTATTCACAGAGTGTTGTCTTTGATTTAGAAATGAAACCAGATGGATAAGCGCATTCGACACGATGGGATTACCTAATAATTGTTATGCTGTGAATAGCCTCATTGGAAATGTACATGAAAGTCCGAAAACCATGGCTTCAAAATCAAGTAAGTTATTGTTTATGCTTATTATTATTAAACAAATAAACGCGTTCAAAAATTCAAACAAGGAATATAACTATATGAAAATATGAAAACAAATAAGAGATCAGGAAGATATTCAAAATACTTGAAGATATTCAAAATAAATTCAATATAATATTGACATTAAAAACATTCAAATGAGTGAGAACAACTGATATTTTTATTTTAACTGGAAATACGAAAAGATAGCAAGTATTTTTAAAAGGATGATTATCGTAAAATATTTTGCATTCACTTAATATTGGCTATAAAATAACGAATAAACTCTCTGAAATTCTTTTAATTAGTATCTCAAAATACGTGTAGCTCGTTAAATTGTGTTTTCAATTTGTGGGACTTTTACTTGATCTGGACTTGGTAATTAGTCCAACAATCCAAACAGAAGTAAAGCGAATTATCTCTATGTCTGACATAACTAGTAGTAAGAAGGTTCAAATAATCTTTTTATTTAAAAAGATTTAAACTGTTCAGAACTTTTGTCTTTAATTGAAAGCATAGCCCATTTCTTTTAGAAGCTAATGCAGACGAAGAGGTTTGTTTTATGAAAAGCATTTAGATAATATAGAAACAATCAATATACACATATACATGTTTTATTTTTTGCCTAGGACCAAAGATTATTTTTTTATGATTTTTATTCACAAACTGAAACAAGTTTGAAATAAGAGAGGCGGAGTAGATTAAGAAGAGGTCTATACCAGAATAGTGTTCATGATTAATTAGGCTTTTTTGTTTTGTTTCAGAAGTGATACTGAAGATTAAAACTGCTACACGTGATGCATTTTACACTTCTACTCCAGGAGCAATTCAGATTTCGGTCCATAGTCCTAGAGTCATTGTGAATCCTTTCAAAACAGGTTTTGCTATCAAGCCTTGTTACAATTATTTCGTTTATATTTCAAAAGTAAGCGTTTACTTAATTTATTACTCATAACGGCATTGCTGTTTTCAGCAAATTTTTTATTTAAGAAATGTTTAAAATTTATTTCATATAATGAAGAAATTTAAATGCGTAGAAATTTGCATAAATGAATGTTTTGGACTCAAACTGTTCAAATTTAGGTTATATTTTGCTAGAAACAATTAAAAAAGTAAATACAAATTGCTGAAACAAGAAATTAGGGAATTTCCTAGATATGATAATCTACGTATAAAATTTAATTGCGTAGCTTTCATTAGTTGTTTTAATTTGTTAGTTTAAAAGTTTAAGGCATGGAAAAGAACCTATGAATGTGAATAATGGCAAGTGAGTATTTTGCTCCTATTTAGCAGAGCTAAAAATCCTTATAATTGATTCCATTTAACAATTAAAGACTTTGAAAAAATTTTACCATTCTACCCGTATAACCTAACGCTAAATGGCAAAAGTCAACAAAAATTGAAACATCTAACATCTGAACCGTTAGTTAAAAGACATTCGACAGATTTTTGCATGGACATAACTTTTCCTCTTATCCAAGAGTAATTGCTTTATGTTACCTTTTTACTTTTGACAAGTAATTCTTCCATTAGTGTTTTTCTATAATTATATTCTTTCTTATTGCTTGGTTAAATGTAAAGTTTACTGGCCTCTGGTTATAAACTGGCAGCCCAACAGTGGGCCCGAAGCCTCAAAAATGTAAAACTTATTACCGAAAGTCGAGCGCAATTTTTTCTTCGAGCTTTACTTGCGTTAAAAGAAGAAAATCATTACCCTTGTGATATCGAAAATTTCGATTTTTGACAATCTGGAAATTAACAGCCATCCTGGCAATGAAGGATTAATCCAATGTTCTTGCGTTTATTGTAAAGCAATCATGCAGTAAGTAGGAATTGTATTTTATACAAAGTTAAATTGATTATGATAGTTTAACATAGAGTGAGAGCATGTTTAATTTTCTAAATAAAAAGAAATAATATTTGAGAATAAAAAAGAAGTGGATCAACAGAAGGAAATAATTGAAATATGTCATTAAAAGTCAAAGCTACTGGAACGGAAGAACCAAAGAATAAATGTGGAAATTCTTCAGATCTTAAATTCAATCTTATTAGTCTCAGTTATCATTGATTAGAAAAGAAATCTTAAACTCTATTTGAAAAACCTACGAAAAAATTTAGCAACTCATCAGAGGCTTGGAAGAAGAAAAATAAGACCTTGATGATGAAGTGGAGAAAACGGTTTAAAAACTGAAAGACGCTAGTTCAACAACAGATGATTGTTCTAGTAAACATTTTAATATTCTCATAAGAAACAAAATTCAAATTTAGAAAAGGAAAATAAGTGGCTCAAAAATGTGTTGCATTAAGTGCAGTCGTCTAGCAAAAGTAATGAAGATACACTAAATAGTAATTCCACAGGTGCTGCCTTCGAACTATTCTGCAATTTCAAAATTTTTGTTTTCAAAGTTCCTTTTACAGTAGGATGGATCTGATATTGTGATTTGGCTTTTAGAATTCGAGAGTCGCTTCAAACCAGGGGGAGATCCAACCCCATATAATGAACTTTTCAAGAACTGATTCTATGTTAAGTGAATCATTCCGATTCAGTGATGTTTCAGGGAATCATCCCGATACAGTGATGTTTCAGGGAATCATCCCGATTCAGTGATGTTTCAGGGAATAATTCCGATTCCATGTTAAATGAATCATCTCGATTCCGTGAAGTTTTAGGGAATCATCCTGATTCCATGTTAAATGAATCATACCGATTCTGTGAAGTTTGAGTGGAATCATCCTGATTCCATGTTAAATGAATCATAACGATTCTGTGAAGTTTGAGTGGAATAACCCTGATTCCATGTTAAATGAATCATCCCAATTTCATTGATGTTTTGAAGAATTATCCTCATTCTGTGCAGTTAAAATCAATCATTTCAAACTCGTCATAAAAGATTCCTGGTTTTCGCTTTATAGAGATGAATGTGAAATAGCTTGCGGACTCTTCGTCGAGACGTCATCAGAGCCCGAGGGGGAGTCTATAACCTAACGCTAAATGGCGACAGTCAACAAAAATTGAAACATCTAACATCTGAACCGTTAGTTAAAGAGATTCGACAGATTTTTGCATGGACATAACTTTTCCTCTTATCCAAGAGTAATTGCTTTATGTTACCTTTATTACTTTTGACATGTAATTCTTCCATGTAGTGTTTTTCTTATAATTATAATTCTTTTATTTTTTGGTTAAAGGTAACGTTTACATGGCCCTCTGGTTATACCCTGAGTTAAAAAAAAAAAAAAAAAAAAAAAAAAAAAAAAAAAAAAAAACGATTTTCTGAATATCTTTAGGAATAAATGATCTTCACATTCTGAAGCAAAAATAAAATGAGATATAGAGAAATCTGACGAACGATAGTGCTTGTGAAAATGTTTCAATAACATTGATAAGTAAATCTTCGGAGAGTATTTCGGAGTTTCACAGTATAGTAAAAGCACGTTCTTACAATTCATAAGACGTCTAAAAACTAAAAAATCAACTTAGCATACTCATATTGCCCCCCATGTAGAGCATCCTCATTGTCTGTATGGAAATGTAGTGAACCAGGTCCAGATGGTTTAAAACCAGAACTTCTTCACTTCATCGCTTATCCTTAATTTCGCCAACAAAAACAGGCAATCACTGGGATCAAGGATACTTCATTTTGGGAATTATTTTTGAAATAACAGATGTCAGATCCATGGATTTCGGATTTCCATGTCTAATCTGCAAGCATAATACTTTCCTTACATCATGACTTCACTTTTCCGTGCTTGTAAAAGGCCTTGCGATAGAAATGGCTGAAGATACGACTCCTATTTTGAAGAAGAGTCCCTTTCCAGAGCTTGTGGAAAACTTCGAAATAGGAATGGTAATACGACCTCTGTTCCCCAGAGAAGTCCCTCACGATTGAATATACTGGCCTAAACACCCTCTGACCTCTTTTAGCGTTGGAAACATGATGAAACAGGTACATAGCAATTATTTCTAATGAGGCCTAGTTTGCAATACTTGGAACAGAAATGTGAAATTAGTCTAGTTGTCGAGTTTTGGGACAATAGTCATTAATGCTCATCACCACCAGCGTAACCTGCGCTATGTTTTCTTGCTACAGTTTGCTGTGAGACTGAGAACTAGGAGCTTGCTCAGGAGCTTTTGTTGGAAAGCATATTGTATGTATGTTACATTAGCTTCTGCTGTTTGAAAATTGGTTCTGTTTTCGAGAGATTTTAGATCACATGCCCTCTTTCAGTGCGTCTGAACAGGTGTAAAAGATCTGTGATTATTGTAGCGGAATAAACGTTTCCGATGGCGCTGCAAAAACTTCATAAAAACCGGAAAAGGCAAAACCAAATTTTGCCTTTGGGATCTAGCTGTTGGATACCCTAACTTTCCAAAAGGTACCGTTTCTATATGATAATGTTGTAGGCTTAAAAGTAAACTGCCTCATAGTGTCTCTTTTGGATATTGAAGAGCTAGAGCAGGAACTCTATGATAACGTAAAATTTGCACTAAAGTGAGTCTCTTTTTGGGAGGTTTAACTTTTTAAATCCATTTGGCGAATTTTACTAAATTGAATAGATGTTCAAGGTGATCGAAGTAAAACAGTTTTTTTTACATTGCGTTGTTGTGTGTAAGTTACAATGTTGTATAATAAATTAAATTCATTTTTTAGTTTTAGTAACTCTAAATTATATAAAAAATTACATACTAAATTATATAAAAAGTAGAATAATTCAAAGAATCGTATTATATTAAAAGTTAGTTCTATTAATTACTTTATTTGGCAGTAAATTGTAAAATACTTTCTTATTTAGTAATCAGTGAATTGTTTGTATTATTTTACACTGCCAGTCATTAAAACTGTAGTGTAAGCAAGGGCAAAATAATATTTATTTTATACGTTTCTTGTAATACAAAGGTAAAATAATTAAACTTTCAGGTACACTGAGCGAATGGAATATGCTATATGCACCAAATATGGCCATTATAAACGATAATAACCACTACTCTACAGATAGGCATAGAAAGAAAAGATCTTGGATGGCATTTTGTGACACTGCGATCCAGAAAACTGTAATTCCTTGCCAGAGTCCATTCCAACCTTCCTAGTTGATCTATTGCAGCCTCTGATGGTCTTTTTCTTGTCAGCGTGTCTTACATTTTGGACTAGATGTGCTAAATTAAGGAAACATCTAATGAATTTTTCAGCCAAAGCCGAAGCGTAACCTGCTGTATGTTGAGGAGGAGTCGGATGTGGTTGCGCATATTATGTTTTTGGAAAGTGGCTATATGATGCCACTTTATATAGAAGATATGAGAAAATAACAGACCTCAATACGCCTATAATCACGCTGACTGGTCAAATGCCAGATATGCGAACCTGACACGAGCAGAACTCTTGTCTAATCTCCCTTCATATAGTTACTTCCAGTGTTGGACAGGTTTGACAATGTATAAGGGAAGATTTCAAAGACTGCTCCCCCACGGTGGTACCATATGCGTACATGTTCATCGTGATGTTGCATGCAGAAGTGAGTTCATGTGAGGAGAGAGTGTTATACCATTCACACGGCCATGTGTATCTTTCGAGCACCACTACGGGCACACACTTCTGTGCAGTGATAAATTAAAAGTGTGCTAATTACAATTAAAGAGTTTAATTATATTGAAATTTTGCTGCAGTTTAAAGCGGGCAAAGCAATGACCACTGCAGAAATACAGTAGCAGTCTGTAGTCTGTAATCAACAGTCCAAGTACAGTAGTAGTGTGTAGTGCGTGACACTCAAGACCACATCTCGTACTTTCAAGCAGATCTTGGCGTATGCTCTTAAAGTGAAGAAGTTCTGTTCTAGAGCGCGTCATGTGGCTGTACTGTCATTGCGGGCCTTTCACCTAAGGTGTCATCTACTCAGACATTTGTAGCTTAAGACCACTTCAACTATTCTTCTTACACCCTTTAATTTCATATTCTCATAACAGTGGCGGATTTTAAGTAACAGGGGTAGCAACTTAGCTATATCATAATCCGCATTTATAGATACCTATTATTCTCTCTCGACCTACATTTGGATATACGTTGTTATACGTTCCGTCTTCTGTTGTGAGGCACATTCTACACTTTCAGTTAGACAAATAAAGAGGAAACATAATTCTCGCATGAAAATCCATCCTTTCTTCTCTTTCCCACTGATTGTGGACTACATTACAAATTCACGCTATTTTCATAAGCACTGCAAAACCACCATTTTTACGTTCTTTGATGTTCTAACTTTTACGCAAATTTTACGTGGATTGGCTACTTCAAACATAATGTAGCATTTTTAATGACTAGAAGTGTAATTTTAAGCAAATTTGAAAGAAGTACGTTACTTTACGTTATAATGGTATTTAGTATTCAAGTGGTCTGGAATATGTTGCTATTGCACGACACATGTTTCATCTTTTGTGTAGTCTGCCAGATAGACAGTTGTCACAATATTTGCAGTCGACGTAGTATAATATATTTAATTTATCTTCCACATTTTGCTTAAGAAACTGACGTATTTAAGATAAAGGTACTATTTCGTAATTTACAGCTTCATTTTATTAACATCTAGCAGAAACCATTTAAAATATATGCAGTTCGTAATTACAAGCATTTTCAGCATTATTTTAAGTGAGGTTTTTTAACGCTATGTATTATGCAGAATCATTTTTTAATGTTTTAGATCAGGAATCTATTGCTGCCTTTTCCTTACGCAACAAATTGTACAGATTATCACAGACTGTGGGAAGAACGTGGTGGTCATGGGCCTTTGACAAAAACGGTAAAGAGTTGCAAAATTTTATATATTTATATAGTTTGAGAGAAACTTATTTTAAAATAACAATTATCTTTCCTTTTCTATTATCTAACATTCTTGCTATCGTGTACTGTGTCTAAATAAAGTAACCAAATTGCCAAAACCATAAATTTTAAGACGCTTAAATAAATGCAATAACAATCTTAAATTTTATATTAAATTTTAACACTTTAGCCTTATTATTTTTCTTTTCATATACATATATGTAATAAAACTGCGGTCCGATGATACGACATGAATGATTTGATTATGAATGCGGAACAAACTTGCATTAAAATTTTCGTTGAAACAGGACTTTTCCCATGATTCACTGTGAACATAGAATAACAAACCCGTGCAGATTTCTTCATTATTAGATCGGGTCGAAAAATGTAATAAAACACAAATTTTGAAAATACTGATGTAAGAACACTGAGATACACACGCGTAGCAGTGTTATTTAGGCGTAGATACTTGATGCTTAGAGCGTCTGTCCATTTTGAAGAATAAGGAATCGAGCCGGATTAAATTCCATATTTATTTAAATTCACATTTTGTATCCACAATTCACATGGCACTCCAGTCATACCTATTTTCAGAATAATTTTGATACTACAGCTACAGAAGCGAATATAGATTATTGCAGCAGCATCTTAACAGGATGAAAGCTTAAGCGAAAAGAAAGAGTCGCAGTACTTCAGAGGAAGAAGGAAAGTTGTCAAAAAAAGGTTTTGGTTTACAAATTACTTTGAATGGACAAGAGATATCTGCATAATGCGTTACGTAAGATTATATGATTAATTTTAATGACGCAGTTTAGACTTATAGCGCTATTTTTAGACAGAGAGAGGAAGTCCCCAAATTAAATAAAAATTAAAAGAGGTTATAGCCAATTAAAATTAGAAGTTTGCTTTCGTATTTTGTATCTTACATATATATATATATATATATATATTTGTCTTCCAAAATTATCATATTATTTTGATTTAATCAATAAGAAAGTTTTAATGGAATCCACCAAGTTGCTTTACTGTTTATTAAGAATTAATTGTTAAGAATAAATTAATTAAGCAAATGTAAGAAATGTGAACTTATACTGTTGGGTTAGCGCTTTTGGCTGACAACTGACAATTCGCTCGGAATTTTCAGATTCTTAATTGTTGTTACTATTGCTTAAATGCATGAAATTATGAAGATCTAATTCAATTGTATTTTATTAAATAATAACATATTACTATGAGTTAGCTCTTGATAATACCATATATCATTCTACGCTTCAGCAAGACTTTATTTTTTTTCTTTTCCAAGATATTATGTTTCTGATTAAGATTTGCTTTATATTATAAAGTTCTAGGATTGTTATCGCAAAATACCGATTTAAAAATAGACAATTAAATGTGTTATTTCCTCGTCTGGAGCATGTGCTCGGAGATAGTCATTATTACAATGAAGATTACCTTTATTAATACTTTATAATGGAAAACATTTATTCTTTATATAACTTACATAAAAAGATAATGTCTTTTTAAATCATATATATATTCCTCTCGTTTAAAAATACACAGCAGTCGCTCTTGCTTCTTTTTTAACATGTAAAACAATATGTCTAATGCGTGATAAATGTACTCCTTTTTATATAAAAATAGACAAAAGAAAGTAAAAAAAATGAAGTCTTCGGAAGAAATTACACTGAAATTGCAGAAGGCATTTAAGGATAATTTGCTTATATGCAACGAATGCAGATCTTAAGCAAAAAGTAAAAATTCTTGCATCTTATAACAAGCTACAAAACGGAGCATGAAGAATCTCCTCAAATCGACAACTAGTTATTCGGATGCAAAGCCAGAATATTGTCACCAATTTGTCATTTTGCAAACGAAAAAAATTACTCTACCGAGAAACCCTACTGGATTCAATTATTCTTCTGTAATATGTTATTATTCTTTTTCTCTAAATTATCACAACCAAAGTATACAAGAATAACTAAAGTTATAAATTATAATAAAAGATATAGATTATAATAAAATAAATGGTCTGAAATAGCATATATATATCGCAAGTACTTGAAAAACGTTGCTTAAATACACATGAAACAACGCAACTTATTTTGGTATAAAAATATATAATTAAAAATTTGCTGGTAGGTTGATGTTTGGTGCTTAATTACAGTGGAAATTGATACAAAAGCAATATTGATTCACGAGTGTCATTAGAAATGCTCAGTATGTTGTCCTCCTCATTCTAATTGAAACCTCAGAGTAGCAGACCTGCATAATAGAGTTGAGTTCTTCTGTAGAGGTGTTATATATTAACGTCGCTAGCCCAGGCTTCAGATAAATTTCCAGGAGGTCCTTTAAACTCCAAATTGTCTGTTTTAGAGCTCAAAATCACATCGGTTGAAGTTTGATGAATATGCTACTCGTTGCTATTTATGAAAGTAGTTGCATATTATTATTTCATTCCCAAAATAACAACTGCTTCACTATTGTTGCACTATGTCATGGAACCTCCTCTAGCATGAAAACAAAAATGCTAGTTAGACGTTAAGGGTAATATGATACATATTTTTAAAAGAAATTCGTCCCGATGGCCGTTAACATAACATGAACGAGATCAATTGTTTCAGAAAAAATCTGATGTGTACACCACATGACTTCCTTGTACGGAATATTAAATTATACGCATTTTTCTTGCATTTCATTTGTGCGGTTAAGCATAATTTTTAAATAATATGGCGGACATGTTTGCTTACATTTGAAGCAGCAGAATTGTAGATTTGTTGCCAATCTAGAGAGACTAAGCTTCGCAACATCTAAGATAACGCCTTCATTTATTATTGCGAATTAAATCATGCTTAATCCTTTCTGGAATTTTTTCGTGGAAATAAGTGTTTAAGATTTACTTCGTAATTTCTAATATAGATATTTTGAGTTCTTATGTATTTTTCCCTTGTCGGGAAGTGAGAACTGAATTAATTGAATGAGAAATACTGAATCGTCTGTCAAAAACTGTTTCTTTTTTGTTTTGTTTGCTTAAATTTCTTTTATACATCGTTTTAGATTTATTGTAGTATTTGAATAAAACATGTGGCAACGATTATATAATTCTTCAAATGATATACATTTATATGCATTCTAATTTAATATATATCTGGTTCGAATCCCGATAGAATTTTTTACCCACATATACCTGTACAAAATTGTTTCTCTTTTTTGAAACTTATTTTTATGCTCTTCACTGTATTTATGCAAAATGGAATTTGTCTCAAGAAACTATCTCAAGGAAAATCTACTTCTTCAGAGTTATCCTATTGCCTTATCCCATGGCATCAGATGGCGCCACATGAACGTCACTCCAACGATATGCCATTACTGAAGATTCTAAAGTCAACAGATGACGTCATATTTCTTTCTCTTATGAGACCCGCACGCAGTGTTTTAAGACTCTCCGCTTGTTCGGAATTTTTTTTTTTTTTTCTCATCTTTATGCTATTAAGAACTTAGGAAATATAGACTGGTAAAGGCATCAACAGTATGCCTTTTACACGATGATCTGTGATCTGTGATCTGTGATTTATAATATGAACTAAATGTAACACTATTAAGTCAAGCTAGCGCCAGATTGTCGCTGTGGTAAACAAATATAGTTTATTCTATTGTGGTTTATGCGCTATCGACGAAGTAGATTTAATTCAACCCAATATGTTTAAATGAAATGCAAGAAGAAATGCGTGTAATTTAATGCTCCGTGCAAGGAAGTCATATGATGTGCACGTTAGATTTTTTTAAACTGAACTACTTTTGCTAATATTAATAAACAGAAATGGCGTTTATTTTTGTTTGTGTTTTCGTTTTCTTTGGAGGCCATTTTCGATAGAGTAGTTGTTTTGAATGTACATAGAAAACCAATTTTACTTAACTTCCATATACATTATAAAGAACGGTATTACATAATAAAGAATATTCTTTAATAATCTTATATTTGCATCAATGATTGCTAGTATTTTAAATAAAAATGCTTAATAACACTTTTAAATAGAAAAAAAATATCTTAATATATAATTTCATTATACCCTTTAGCAATGTAGGGAAGAATGTCTTTACAATGCATCTGTAGAAGATGCACATTGCGTGGATCCATTCTTCATAACTTATCCCAATGTTGCACCAATATGTAAACATCGTAAGTAGACTGAAATTAAATAATAAAAGTTAAGAACTGTGAAATTTAAATTATTCATGCTTTGAGGATTTTACTATTCTAATTTGTATTATTTTTGTTTTCCTACAGCTGTCGGTGGTCGAAAATATACAGAAAAATGTGAAAGTTTTTGTTCTAGAGCCTGCGAGTGAGTAAATTAAAGTCTCCTCTCCCAACAAATCTCAATATTCATGCGAAATAAAAAATAAGTTCATCACTAACGGCTTAAAACCAAAACCGATTTTTATTTGAATAGAATCAATACTTAATCGATCTTAATTAATTAATTTCAAATTTTATGTCTCCATTCAGAAGCAATGAAACCTAACTGTAGTTTGAAATATTAGTCTCCTTAAGTAAACGAAAGTAAATTCCACTCGAATATGTTGCGATAATTCAGTATGGGGTAAACTTTCATGGGGCATTATGAAATTTAGATACTTATTTTAAATCTTTCAGAAATATTCCGTATAGTCTGCAGAGAAATTATTAGCTTCAGTAGTAAATTATTCTGTTTTGATCTTAATCAAAAAGGTGATACTCTCTCACGTAAAATATAATATAATCCAAATATTATTATTTTTAAAGCTGATAATAAGCGGTCAAATCGTTGTTGTGGATTGAAATATACACTGGTGTGCAAAAATTAAGGACGACGTCGAAAAATTAGCGTATCAATTGAACGAACAGGCAGAGCGAACAGAAAGACAAATCAGGAGATTAAGTAAGGTGATGTACAGTAGCACATGCGCAGATATGCAGGTAGACGTAATGGGGGAGTGTCTGAGTGGTATAAAGCATGTTGTCGGTGTAAGATCAGTATTTCTGGCAAAGAGATTGCACGCCGTATAGCAGTTAAAATCACACCGAGTTGCTGCCTCAGCGAGAAATGGCGAATAATCAATCTGTTAGACGACATCTGGATGCTTTTACCCGAGGTCGAATCATTGGGAAGTTGGAGGAAGGCCGCAGTGTGACAAGTGTGGCTGCAGAGTTCGGAATTGCTCACAGCATCGTTTCACGACTTTGGAGACAATTTCAAACTACAGGAACAGCTATCCGGGGGTTTAGTAGTGGTCGTCCACGAGGAACCACACCCGCAGATGACCGGTATATTGCCTTACAGGCCAGAAGAAACAGGCGGCAGACAGCGGGAGAAATCGCTAGACACACGACACAGGCGACTGGACGACCGATATCGCGTTTTACCGTGGCCAGAAGACTGCACGGTGGTGGTCTGTTTGCACGACGCCCTGTACGGTGTGTACCTCTAACGCCTGCCCATCGGAGAAGGCGTTCTCTGTGGTGCCGGGAACACCGGAATTGGAGAGACAATGAATGGGGACGAGTACTCTTTACAGATGAGAGCAGATTCAGTCTGAGTAGCGATTCTCATCGCATACTCATCTGGAGAGAGCGGGGAAGCCGCAATCATCCCTCGAACATCATTGAAAGGGACAGGTATGGAGGTGGCGGTGTTCTCGTTTGGGGAGGCATCATGCTTGGTAGTCGTACAGACCTTCACATCTTCGACGCAGGTTCAGTCAACGGGACCCGTTATTGTAACGAGATTCTTCTTCCATATGTGCGTCTTTTTAGAGGCGCTATGGGTCCGCAGTTCCTTTTCATGGACGACAATGCACCATGTCATCGCACAGTAGCTGCCGAACAGCTCTTAGAGAGTGAGGATATTGAACGTATGGATTGGCCGGCACGATCTCCGGATCTCAATCCCATCGAGCATGTATGGGATTTTCTAGGCAGACGCTTGGCAGCTCGTACCTTACCACCAGTAACGATTCCGGAGCTTCGATTGGCGCTGCAAGACGAATGGGCAGCAATGCCTCAACAACTCATTGACACCCTCATTCTCAGCATGGGCAGACGCTGTGAAACCTGCCTAGCAGTCAGGGGAGATCATATCCCCTATTAAAGACCGGATGTTTCTTGCTGGACACCCATCACAGGGATGTTTCGGCCTTCAGTCGCATTGCGCTCCATGCTACTTTTTCAATAAAGCTTCTTTTTATCCCTCTGATTTCTCTTTTAGTAAGTGTTGCTTACTCATGTCCTTACGTATTGGGGATCTTACGGTATTAAATGTGTTGATTTGGAAAGCTTTTGTACAAAGTTATATTGAAAAAACCGTCTCGTCCTTAATTTTTGCACACCATTGTATATCTTAATGCAGTAGTCAAGTCTATAAATGAAACCTCATAATATTTGTTCCCTAAAAGCTCCTTCGGCTTCTGAAATTTCTAAAATTAAATTCATTATTATATCGTCTTAATTTTTTGGGTTAAAATGTCATGAAGTCTACCTATAGCTAGATTTTATTCCTCTCTCCGATATATATATAAATACATTGGGATGACCAAAAGTCCGTTAACATTTGAAAATTCAATAACTGACTGAATAATGTATGCAGAGAGAAGTGCTTAAAACTGCCAACAGATGGCGCTTCATATGATAATAAAAGCAATAATTAGCATAACAATTATTATTTAGCAAAACTATGTTCTTTATAACAGATGTTTAACATGTCGGCCGTCTTTCATCAATAATACCCGTAGTCGAGGGACAATGTTGTGAATAGCATATATGTAGCAGCATATATGTAGGTATAATGATGTATATATAGGTTCACTATACAGCATATATGTAGGTATAATGATGTATATGTAGGTTCACTATACAGCATATATGTAGGTATAATGATGTATATGTAGGTTATCTGGTCAGAAACTGCCGTCGTATGATGTCATTTAGCATTCCTAATGAAGTCGTACGATTGCGGTAGACTTGAAATTTCAAGTAACCCCACAGCCAATAATCCCACGGATTAAGATCTGGGGGCCTGAGAGGTCAAGTATGACAGAAGTGCCGACTCAGCAAGCGATCCTCACCAAACTATGTGTGCAAGAGAACTTTCACATGTGTAGCAATATTGGGTGGAGCGCCATCTATAAAAGTCATGCCTTCTAACAGGTATTCATGTGCCAGACTAGGGATGACGCGATTCTGTAACACAGTAGCATACCTCTCACTACCCCCCTTTTTTTCTCTCAAAGAGTTAGTATGGGAAGGCATTACCAGTCGACCTATGGTACATCGCTTGTGTCCCCCATACTTTTACCTTTAAGGCAAGTTTACTCGTCAGAGCCGCTTGTAGAGAGGTCGACGTGCGTTTTCGAACCGAGTGAAGACTTGTACTCTGATAGATTGTTTACACCAATCAGTGACGCAACTCGCCTCCGTTGTTTACGAAATGGATACCGCCGTGCAGCAGAGGAAAGAATATGCTTGACATACATGATTTTTTTGGCTGAGTGCTGAGTCTGGGAAGCTTTCAAACAAAATAATTTCTTCTCTTACGAGAAAAAAAAGAGAAGAAAAAGAAATGGGTACGTGACTGGTGCTGCCGCGATGATAGGAGTATCGATGACTATTAATGAATTTCGGACGAATGTCTAATTACAAAAACGTTATGCAATCAGATAGAAATTTAAACGAAACTAGTTTGAGAGAAGTATTAGTCAAGTGGTTACTGAAATTCAATTTAACGAAGTTTTTCGCTATATACACTGTTTATTTACATCTACTTATCATTACAAAAATGTACGTAATAATGTTTTAATATGTTACTAGAGAAGATATTTATTCATCAAATCACAGAATCAAGCTCACGTGCATGTATTAATTATGCAGTTCTGACTGAACGGTTATTTATAGAGAGAATGCAAAATTACACAAAGAATTTATTCAAGCAACGGCAAAAGTAAAGTTAGAATCTACATAATTATCAGAAATCTAAATACTAGTAGCAAAACTTAGGACATTTTATGACACAGGTAAAAAGAATGTATATTATACATAGTTCCAACAAAAGATATTTATCTCAAATTCTTCTTTTGGATCCTACTTAAATTGTGTTTCTGGACAACACAAAGTTATTCAACAAAATAAAATGGTTAAATATAGTGATTTATTTTACTTTAAATGCTAAAACGGATATTTAAGAAGATGAATTCATCTAGCATAATTTATATAAACCTTAATACACTCACACATCCAACTGAATGTAACCGAATTAAGCCCAGAAGCTTTATACCAAAGCAAGAAATTTAAATATCCACAATAAAACAGATATTTATTAGTCCAAAGGGATTTGAATCCCAGGACTGTTTAGTTTCGTTTTGGCATTTGCGTCGGACTCATAAACGTCGGTTCCCTTTCAAACTGTTGCCACAAGTTAGAGTCCTGCATTATATTTGAAGAAATTAAATAATGAAAATCTGCATAAATGTATGTATATTTCTCGTATTGTGATAAAACAACGGTACATAGAGTCATCGAATTTTGAATAACGTATCCTCCAACGAATATGAGCATGTGAAGACCAAATTTGAAATTTGAAATTTGTTTGATGATCGATTTCTATTTTTTTAAAAACTTTGACGAATTTTGATTAACAAACTCAAGGATTTCAAATGGCAACGTTGTGCAGAAAAACATTTTTATCTCCAGCGCGTGAGTCTCTGTATCGGAAATTCTAAAGATATGCTCGTTTTAAAATATTTTGCGATATGCTGTTGCACTGATCTTATGGGTTAAGTGCGAGGAACATGATGTTTAATAAAGAAAGGTAACCACAAATGTTAAAAACGCCCCTTTGGATGTAATTTAAAATCTGAAACATTTCAATTTTTTTATTTTTTTTTTTTCAGAATCCATTTATTTTTTATATTTTACAATATCATATATTTATTGCATCATCATGTAGGATGCTTGTAGAATGGTTGGCTATCGGTTTACATCTCGGCATTATAAAACTCACCGTCCCTGCGAACGCTGCTCGGACTAAATGCCCGATAGATTTTCACAGGTTCAAAGAGAAACGGAAGCGCTGACTCATCTCCGCTACGTTTCTACTCCGTCGAAGTGAGCGTTTAACCACTGTCAAGTACCACGAGCGCTCTCCGACAGGTGTAAACTGACCCTTTACCTTTCCCTACCCTCACACTTTTAATATGAGAACCCGCATCTCCAAAGGAAAAGGGTCCGATCACGATTGACAATAACCCACCACAGTTAAATAGAATGAGATGGCGTCTCTGCTGTCGCAATACGAGGGAGTGAAGCCGGGGGAAGCAATACCACGCCTCGTGAGGGCAAGAAAACGCTTCCCTTACATAGGAGTGAGGTAACGTCAGCTTGTTGAAGTTTTGAGTGTGTTTTCTGATTTCTTATTGAAGACGTGAGAGGGTTATAAGGTACTGAATGGTTACATTGAAATATGGTCTACATTTCGGATTTCATTTCCATATAAAGAAGTTTTTTTACATCATAAATAAGTAGAATAATTGAAATGTGCGTTTGAAAAGCCGTCAGAAAAGAGTTTGAGTATTTTCTCGGTGTGACGTGCGCGAAGAAACATCTATAATTCGCAGATTTTTCTTCATTAGGTTGAGTATTATAATCGTAATTACTGAGTTGTAAAAGCAAACGGTAAGTAAACAAGGAAGGGGAGTGTCAGCTCATCCTGGAAAGAAAACGCGTTATTTTAAGGTGTGATCATATTATATTACAAGTCTATTTATGTATTTATTTTATTTTCTGTTCAAGTAAATATAATAACTGATTAATTTGGGGTGAAATTGTGGAGTTTTAAAAATAACAGAGAATTGAATATTATTTTTATCATTGTCATGCAATTTATATTTTTCAACGTAAGTAGTATTTCTAACATGGAAATGAGAATTATACCTGTATATATTAAAAAAAATAAATCAATTAAGGGTTGAGTATTTTTATTTATTTTCACAATACCTTTATTGCTAGCATTCATTAATGACAGCATAATTACATAATGCATTTCTCATTTAACTCATTTAATGGAATCAGTCCTTGTACATAGTTTCCCTCTGCATATCCTTAATGATTAGAATTGATACAATTATCCCCTTGCAGCCGTTCCTGGATATGTTTTAAACATTCACAGCAAACTTTTATCAACTTTGAGCAAATATAATTAAATAATGATATATATTTAAAAGAATATTACCTGTGAAATGTAATAGCGGATCCGCTTTCTTCTTTTGTACAGCCAAAGCGCGCAGGAAATTACCTTTGGCAGGAATAAAATTGCTTCTCGGAACAATATTGCAGCCGTCTACAAATGATAGAAAATGTAGAAATAAATAAATGCGGGGACAGTGAAGGAAAAGCGGCGAAGAATCCGTCTTTTAATTTACGAAAACTGAGTGTGGCTAGGTTCTGCTATTGGCTGAAGAGCTCGTCAATCTTTCTAAAGCCATGACTACTAATAAAAATTAAATTAGATGCTTTCCCCCACTTTTTGGCTTCACTTGGACTGCGCGCAGGGCATCTCCATGTATTCTAACCTCCTTGCCCACATCACACCGTGACCAAGATTTGGAGGCGAAGATAGAAATGTGGCAAAGTTATGAAGGGACTGATTCCTTCTCTCACTACAGCATTCCATACACGATTCTCATGCGGCGTGACTGAAATTTTGTTGGCCTCCTTTTGCTTACAGTAAAACTCCATGTCATTTAAAACATATGTGTCAGTGTTTGTATCTCTCTATCTACATTATTCTGTGAATTATTGAATTTTCAAATGTTAGCGGACTTTGGGTCACTCGGCACATAAATATGCAGATAAACATACGTATATATAAATTTTAATTATTTATATTATTGCGTTTTTTTTCTGACACCAGTTACGTTATTTTCTTCCTTCACGTTCGTACAGGGTTCGTACGGATTTGGAGTGAATAATGACAATAGTACTTGATGAAGTATCGAAACACACTTTATTGGCCAGTGTTGTCAGGACTGCTCCAAACCACTTTTTGAAGTCATCGAAGATCTACAATAAATACGCTGGAACAATCAGCGACACAGCCTTCACTCTGTCAGGCACTAACGTTGGAGACAGCTTCCCACAAATCACCAGAGTACAGCTCCCGACTCTGCTCGGTCGTTCTCGGAACTCCACGTACTTTCGAGACTCTCCACGCTACAACTCGCGATGCACTCGATGACACACGAGCACAGCTCCCGACTCTTCGGTTCAGTCGTTTCCGGAGCTCAACACGGTCTCTCGACGACCGCGATACACTAACAGACTCCTTCGGTACACTCGACGATCCACTCGGCACTCGCTGCCCGGCTGTCAACTCGATCGAATCCACACGGACTGACTTGCTAGGCGAGACACACTAACTGACTGCGGACTAGCAGGGTTTGTATAGCTTTTGACTGGTGTTCGAGAACATTCTGGGCTAAACCGGTAAGAATTCGTTCCAGAAGGTTTTCCATCCGTCCATGGTATATCGGCAATTTTTTCTCCAAACTTGGCAACCCTGCCTTCCCTTTTCATTTTATGGCAACCCTAAACCTGCTTTGCGTGGAAGCCATTTTACCGCGCCTGTACATTTCGTAACAATATCAACCCTCACCTTGGAAGTGAAGAGTGAAAAACTATTGTAATTTCGAGACTTCTAAAAAGTTTAATTCCTTTGGAAAATGAGTTTAAAGTATGGAAATAAAACTTCATAAAAAGTATTTGAACAATAAAAAAAAATAGAGTGACAGAATAAAATAAAATAAAATTAATCATTATTGATTCTATAGAAAAGGCTGACTTTTCAAAGGAAATAGGTCCTTTATTATAAAATCGCCAATAATTATGAATTAAATTTATATTTCAATCTTAGATGCGTTAAAGCTTGATTTTGACTTTGATACACAGGTCCATTTTACATTTTTGAATTTTTTGTTTAATGTGTTAATTATATATACGTGTTATATATATTCGTGTGTGTGTGAGTTAGTTGCAACTTTCTAAACACATAGTTTGAAGCCTTTCTCTTTATCATAAATCGCATTTCTGTAAATAAGTGGAATATATGCTTGAAATCATTTAACAGCACGTGTTCTCGTTTCGGCCTGGTATTGCTTCATTATGTTTATTGTACGAATCTGCTTAAGATGATCTAGAAGAAAGATTATTGTCAGAAATATCATCAGCTCTATAACGCCCTCTTCTTCGACTTCATCACTTAAATTTTTATTACATAATATGTATGATACATGAGTGGTATAGTAATTTAACGTATTTATATATAAACCAGTAAACCTGTGTATTTCAGCGCCAGCTAATGATTCAAAATATTTGGCTTTTTAAGAAAACATGTCAGCAAAATAAAAAACTGATAAAGGTTAATATATTGCTCAATACTGTATTCCCAGATGTATACATATATATTTATTTTTAATCACTTGCTTGGAGAGGACAATAACTAAAAAAATAGTAATTTGACACAGCTGCGTTAGTTATCAGTGCAACAGAAAATCAATTGGTCATTCATTTAAGAAGAAGATTAGCAGTAAAAGGGATAGAATATCGATCGAGGTAACATTAATTGTAATTAATTGTAATCGAAATTTAAATACATCTATGCAAAATCTCCCTATGTAAGAAAGTAAAGTCTCCAAATTTTAGAGTCCCCTAAATCCCCACTAAGATTACTCACCTTCTTTACTGTCCTAACAAAATGAATTGTAGAGTCATTAAGTTATACGGAAGCCGGAACATGAAAAATGTGCATTGCCTTCGCCAGGATTCGAACTTCGGAACGTCGAGCGTACTTCCAGTTACCCCACGAAGGCATGCGAAAAGGAGGGACTGAAATTTAAAAAAGGCTACCGGGGGACCCAGTTGCTAAATCCTGGTGGTGACAAATCATCAATCACCAGTTTTTCGGAGGGCACTTGTAAAGTCACTTTGAATTTTTTTGATGTCAGGAACTAAAGAAATCTACAGTGCCCTCGCTGAGATTCGAACTCCGGACTTCCGAAATACGTATCGAAGGTGTTTCCAGTGACAATATGAAGGTATGAGTAAGGGAGGGAGAAAATACTTTATAAAGTGAGCACTAGATCGAACGCTATGCTTAGGGCCCCATATTGTCGAATAAATTGCTAGAAACTATGCCTCATGCTATATGCTATATCAGTTTTTTTAAAAAAAACCTTTTTTTTCTTAGTTTTAAGAAATAGGGCTAGCGAGTTAGAGAATATGTATCTTTTAGAGTAGATTTCCTTGTCGTATTTGTATCTAATGAAGTATTTAAATATTTATGCATGAATTCCTTAATATGATTTAATGGAAATTAACTGAAGTCTTTTGTTATCGTTTTTAGTTTTTTTTTTTTTTTTGATCAGCTACTAGTATCTTGTTGTAAACACTGCATGAGGATGTTAGTATCTTGGCCGTTACTATTCAAGAAAGAAATTTTATAATGTTATTAACTTTTTTTTTTCGTTTTTGAAAATTTATTATATTTATTTTCGTATCGTGCAAGTACTTCTTTTCTATGAAATTTCAATACATACAGATTTATAGCATTATTTAGCATTGCAATATATTTCATTTAAATTTTGACTTTTTGTTCATTTTAGGCGAGAAGACATATATACTGATGTTGAAGAACATGCTTCACTTTCAGTGAGGGTAGGTTAATAAGTATTATGATTAAATGTCTCATCCTTCTTGGTTCATTTTTTTTGGTCTATCTTATTCATTTAATTGATTACAATTAATTTGAGTACCTATTGTAGAGACATTAGGTATTTTTTTGGAAGCAGGCAAGATGAAAAATTAACAACGCCTTCCCTGGGAATCGAACCACGGATCTCTGGAATACGCGCCCAGCGTGAGACCACCAACCTGAAGCAGCAAGAGGCGGGAGAAATCTTTACATACTACCCTTTTAAGGCGCTAGAGTTTAGGGAACCCAGCGCCAAATCCGGGCGTGGAAATCATCACCCAACACCCTTTATCGGGCGCCACTATGTAGGTTATTCGAAGAGGCAAGATGAAAAATAGGAACGCCTCGCCGAGTCGAAGTGCGGACCTCTGGAGTACGCGCCCAGCGTGCAGGCCACCACACCACGAAGGCATGCCAAGAAGGTGCGAGAAATACCTTATATTTTTAATAGATGTATTGCATAGTTATGTTTCAAGTATCTGCAAAATGATTATTCCAAGTGCAGAAAACTGATTTCATTTAAGCGCCGTGTTATCGAAGACGTGCACATTTGTCTTGACTTTCTAATAATTTTTCGTTTATTTAACGAAACTCAAGAATTTTTCTGATTCATTTCTAATTCTTCTATTAAAAAAAAAAAAAGAAAAAATTTATAAATTGTTGACATTACTAAATAATTCATTTACTAAGCCTGGTAGCATGAATTGCCTCTAAACTTCCAGTATTCAGGAGATAAGATTTGTGAAGTCCACCATAAGTGGCGTAAGCCAATAAAAGCATTTGTTTGACTTTTATGACAATTTTAATATTTCGCCCACATGTGAATTTTTCTTTGCTGTTGTATTATCAATATTAATGTTTTCAAATTAGTCCACTATTTCTAGCATTTTTTTTTTCGATAAAAAGAGCCTATTCATTTTACATTGAAGATCCACGCGAATAATCACTAACAAGTAGAACATCAGTCTTAAGCTCCGAATCGTGAAATATCTTCGTTAGGCTCATTAATTATCTCTTACTTACTGCAATTTGCTAGCGAAATATAGAAATACTAATTTTAATTTGGTAGCTCAAACAGCCAAATAACTTCTTCCTATATATGCTAGATCAGTTTAGATAAAACATGAGTGCACTTGCAAGTGTCGGTTGATTTGCAGTGTTCTCTGTTTCTCTAAACCGGAGAACAATATTGATGATATTAACTGTAGCAGTATGAGCGCCATGCTGCCTCTCTTGCTCGTGGACCACATTTCGTTGTGCAAAAGAACTATCTTGCAGTACCCGTACGTAAGAATAACTAACTAATAACTATGTTTAACTAACTATTTTTAGATTCAAAGATCCAGTCGACAAGCCCTCTGAGACACTTTCTCTAATTGCAAAGCTTTGCTTCTTGATGAAATATGAAATGAAGTTCCGTTTAAAGACTTTACATTATCATAAGTTACTTATACGTCGTCAAGACCGAGGGATCCATTTCAGGACTTCTGTTCAAATTATTGGTGAAAGTAGGGCGTTATTTTATAATCAAACTGTAATGCTCATACTTTTGTTATTAAACTTTTTCTCTACCTCTCACAGTTTTCATGACAGATTTGCTAACTTCCGAAATTCCTCTCTAACAGCTTTGCAGTCGCACTTAGACGATACAGAACAAACACTTTACTTTAACTATACACAACTTTTAGAACTCTAACTTTCCGCACTCAAACGTTATTTCACTGTTTAGGAATTGTATTATATGCTCTGTATATGCGTGCGTGCTCGGCACATGTAATCATTCTTGTACATTGGTTAAATTTCTTGATTTCTAAATCTGTTTGAAGAAGAGAGTAATGGATTATGAATATCAAGTCTTTTGATATTTTTCTGAGAAATAAGTGCCATTTGCATAAGTTATGATTTTTTGCTTTCTTTTTTTATTTCAGAATAGCAGATATGAGCTTGAAGAGTAAGTACTAAAATTTCTGTTTTATGTGCTTCTTCCTATATTTAATTGGATTACAAACAACACTAGGAAATAACTTCTAATTAATGATTATTTATGACATATGTATTCGAAAGTGTATAAATGCTTATTTTGCTCATTTTATTTCCCTGTTGTAGATGCACTTCGACTATAACATTTGCATTTAATAGAATGGAATTAAAAACTTACATATATTCGCCAAAATATCAGGTAACTATATTATTATCTTTTTAAATTTGACAGCCACATCATACCTTAGAATCTCATATGATAGATATTAGATGTAGCATTTATTTTAATGAAATAAGGTCAACTAATTTACTGAAACTATTATAATTAAATTATATTATTTTTATGAATCAGTTACTTTTATACAGCTTAGTTTGTTAATCAATAACGGACAAATTAAATTTGAAACTTAAATATCTTACATTTTGCAAAATGGCAACAGACTCAAACGAAACATGAAGCAACGGATTTAAAATAAATCAACGCAAAATCGTTTATCGAGACTGATTTTTTTTTTGGGGGGGGGAAACCATGAACATTAATCATTAACTATTTCTAATTTCCTTTCATATGAATATGATACACTTTCAGTTTATTTAAAATTTTGAGCAAATGTTTGATCGATGCGGACTAAATATCTAAAGTCATCTTAATAAGCAATTAATAAACACACAAAATAAAACAAACTTAACAAACAACAAAAAACAAAATAAACTTCAGAAACTTGACAAATAAATTTTATAAACTTAACAAATAAACTTTACAAGTTTAACAATATTAGCAGCTTAATAAATTTAACAAATGAACTTTATAAACTTAACAACCTTAGCAACTTAATAAATTAAAAAAAAACTTAAAAACAACTTAAAACAATTTGACAAATAACTAAAATCGAGAAATTCTATTTAAAAATCCAAGTGAAGCTATTTTGAACAAAATTTACTACTTGAGACATAAAAATGAAAGAAAATACACGTTTTTGTTAATAGATTATTTTCAGTAAATACATCATGAAAAAAGGGGTTGAATTATTAAATTAACATATCTTCTATTTAATGAGAATAAACATTGGATACTTTTACGTGTATCAGACACGCAAAAATAGCTATCGAAGAAAAGTTTAGATATTAAGCTATTTTAATAGTTTTTCTGTTAGCGAAATAGTTGATGACATTCTAGAAGTTTATTACATGACACCAGTTGGTATTTTATCACAGAAGACTTGCTCTCACAATTAATAAAACATCGAGCAAATATGAGGAAAATTCGCAGTGGTACTATTACATTGTTTGGAATTGCATTCTGGATACTGTATTTTAAAACAAACTGCGGAATTTGAAAGCGACCACATTTCTATCCATTTGTTTCGTCTTCCGAAGTAGTAACAAAATATCAATCTAGTAGTAACGGAATATCAATAGAACAGAATATCAAGAATATCAATAGAAGTAGTTACAGAATATCAATCCATTTATGATATCTAATTCAAATATCATAAATGGATTGGTATTTGTATTTCACATTTAAAAGTTTCGCTGGAGTAAGGATAGCATAGCAAAAACATGAAACTGTTGAAGTCTTGTTGCAACTTCTTTGAACATTCTGTTCAGTGTAGAAAGAATTCAATATGAGTTCAACTTCAATTCAATTGAACTTCGTTCGACAATTCAGCATCTCGTGATTCTTCGATTCAGCAAAGACTGAGTAAATATGTTGTTGGAATACCTGTAGTTCAACCTCAGTTCTAACTCCAAAGGAGGGACTGGCTGCATGAATTTTTCGTAGTTTAGTTTACCATTGGCGTAACGTAGGATATGTGTCATTGCTTGACGTCTTTTCGAGCCAATGCATCTTTCGTAACATGAATTAATTCTCAATTTTTAAATCCTTCGTGAGGAATTTAAAATCGCCGACAAGGCATCGCTAATGCAATCCATAAGCTTATTAAACTTTGCGGCAAACCTATAAATGCCACTTCTTTCTGCCACCTCCAAATCCATATGACTAAGTCCTGCAAGATTATATTTCACATGAAAAATGCCGCTTCCTGGACCGGACCGCGCTTTTCCCTTTAGCTACTCCACTGTATATTGTTTACAACTTTATTTAAAAAAAGCAGGAAATAATAATCACTCCAAACAACTAGGATGAATCTGAGTTTTTGTCTCCTAAACATCTTTCTAAAGTGCACAGTAAATGGTTGAAAATTTGGTCAATTTTGCATTCCCCATTGCATTTTTACTTTCCCCATAGCTCTGGTAGATGGCACCACGTACCAACGCCTTGTATTCTTTAGAGAGTCTTGAAAGTCTTGTTAATTTTCCCTTAGCAATTTAAATCGTTATAGTACCTGCATGACGATATAAAAAAAATATTAAAGACAACAGATGTTAGACTGATTAAAACACATATTCTCAACATTATTCACAGTTATAAATTTAAATTTTATGATAAATTTGTTTTAATTTTTTTCCCCCACAGGCTATTGAACTTTTCGGTTACATCGGAGGATACTTGGGCGTTTTTTTAGGAATTTCTCTTTTGGCTATCACCGATGTCTTAGAATCATTTTATGTGATTTTCAAAATATGCAAAAGAGCACTTCAAGGAAATAAAAGGAAAATACGGAAATATAAGAATGCTAACGAAAGTATTAAGAAATATGAACGTTGTTACCATGATAATTATAAAAAAAATGCAATTTTGAAGCTTTACTGATTTTTGAAGATAGTGTATCAAGATCTTGATAGAAATGAAATTAAAATTAGTTATACATTGGAAAATAAATAAAATTTTTCAAATATTTTTGTGTGAATGCGTTTTATTTATTCATATTTATCATCTTGCTAATAAATGCATGACAATAGATGTAAAAATGTACTGTGGCACCTCAAAACTTCCTTATATACCAATTGAATTGCACACATTTCTTGCTGTACTTCATTTAAACTTGTTTCTTCGAATTATTCTAACTTAATTAACCGTTTCCTTAGTTGAAAATGACATAAAAATTCGGTACTATTCCGTTTTGAGAACCGTAAAAAAATTGCAGCGAAAATGTATGCGCAAAAGCGCCAAACCTAGCAAACGCGCCCATTTAACAGCCCGCCAAATCTAGCGTACGCGCTGATTTCAGATTGCGTAAGTTTATATAGTTGTGTATTTCTAAGACGCCATTGAACTAGTTTAATTTTTAAATCCTTTTTGACCCTATGGATTTAACAATTTGGGAATTTTCTATACGAAAAGGTGCAATAGAATTTTGGGTAAAGTGCAGAATCACCCACAGCTTGACGCGTTTTTAAGAATGCATACTCGATATCCATGTACACATCGACTTGTTCACTTTTAAAAAAATTCCCAGGATTGCACAAAAATCACTGCGCACACCCTTGACTTTATCTATGTACACATCGCTATTTCACTTAAAAGAAAATTGACAAAATCCAAGTTTTTTACATTTGTAAAAAGCAACAATAAGTGGGCGATTCTGCATTTACCGAGAATTTTTTCAAAGAAAAAGCATTCATCATTGAAAAATTATGTTTAACAATCCGAGATGAAATTGGTTTTTAGCGATAACTCGTAGCGAAATACGAGGCAGACATCCATTCAGCTATGTTTAGCAATTTTTATATATATTGTAATAATGATCTGAAATAGTTATTGACTCTTATGCTTCATTCAGTCATGTTTAGCCTTTTTTATATATATATAATATAAAAAAAGTATTATATGAAATTAACCTTTCATTTTTAAAACAGAACTAATAGCTATTTACTAGTATACTTCCTTTCTTGCGTTAGGGTTGCCGCAATTACTTTTTGGTAGCACTGGCATCAACAACAGTTTGGCGATTTTTTACGGCCCTCAAAACCGAATAGTACCAAAAATTCAAATTCTGAAGTTAAAATATCCTGGTCAATTTTTTTGTACAGGAGACAAACTTCTTATTTTCACAACGAGTAAAACACTTTCGAAAATATAAGTGTAGGAACCGGTAGAACGTACTAAAAGTAGAGTTGGTTATTTGTCCAAAATGATTTTTGTTTAAATTTCAAATTGCCGAAATATGAATATTTTCGTCATTTAAAACATTTCTATAGCCGAAAGTATGTATCTACGACCAACGATTGCAAAAATAAAAGCCGGGTAAAAAAAAAAAAAAAGGGGGGGGGGGAACACCCCTCTGAACCCATTTATAAATACATTATGATTCAACCTTCCATTTGTTCATACTTGATATTATTGCAATGCCGCTGAATTATGTAAATGATTCGTTCTTCTGTAAAATATATTTTGCAAAGATCCTTGTAATATGTGGAGTAGCATTCTTGTATGAATAATGTAATATGTAACTGTATTGTAATATGCGGATTAGCTTTCTTTGTATTGACCGTGAAAGGCACCGACATACTTGCACGGTTGAAATAATTTCGTTCTAAAGCAACGCTGCATAACCCCCTTGCTTGTAAATTTTGTGAATTCTAAATTTGCCAGTTGTGAATTCGCAGAAGTCGTTCCAAATGAAATTCGAAATCGATTTAACGGCGAGCAAAAACTATTGAGAACTCGAGTCGTCAATCAAAATCGAGTGAAAAAACTCTGTATAAGTAAAAGTTCGCACTGATAATATCGGATGAGGATTTTATGAATAGGTGAGTAGTGCTTATTCATTGGTATTACTACACAGTGAACACTAGTGCCGGCTATAAAGTTTAAACTTCTGTTCGCTTATGTTTGAACAGCAACCCCCTCTACTACCATTTTAGAAGAAGGATATCGTCCTCTTCCAAGTTGAACAGCCAATGATGATGTTGCTTCAAATTATATTATAATTTGTAGGCTTTTTTAGCAGAGATAGTGCGTCTTCAAAACCCCTTCAAAATTCGAATAAAGAAAATAGGGCGTAATTTGTGTTTGATAAAAGAATTTAACTTATAAAACGTCATCTTGCAAACTCAAGGACATTGAGAGTTACCAATTACACCAGAAACAAGAATTTCCCAGGAATGTTTGCAGGCTTTATAACAGTTGTGTGACGCTGACAAAATTTTGCATGCGTAATATGTGTTCCATAACGGAAACACTTCGAACCAATTTAGTGTTTTGTTAAGCGTCTTTCACATCCCTTTATTAAATCACAACAAAGATTCACACTTTTCTGATGTCTGCTGACGGATGTAGGCAGCTCAGGATACGGGAATTTTAATTACGGACATCCTGTATACATATGTATACTAGTGTGTAAAAATTAAGACCAGGTGGAGATATTAGCAAAAAAAGTGGAGCAAGGCAACAGAACAGACGTAAAGACCAATCAAGAAATTGACTTGAGACAGGGCATGTGCATATGTGGCCCATCACTTATAGCGAGGAGTGTCAGAATTGGTGTACGCGGGCGGTGTAAACTCAGCAGTGAAGTTAAAGCTATTGCTCGGTATATAGTGATTTGAACTAAGTCTGTCCTACCGTGTGATATGGCTAGCAAGCAATCCAGGGAAAAACATCAGGATGACTTTACTCGTAGTAGAAGGTCAAAGAGTGACAAGTATAGCAAAAGAGTTTGAGATCTCTCATAGCGTCATTTCACGAACCTGAAGAGCATTTCATACGGCAGGAACAGCGACTCCAGTGCTCAGTAGCAAGAGCAACAACGTCCAAGAGCAACAACGACGTTATAAGAAACAAGTGACCGACAGCGGGAGGTATCGCAAGGCACATGCAAAAGATAACTGAATGGCCGATATCATATTTGAACGAGTCCAGAAGGCGTACAAACATGGTCTAAACGCACGAAGACGTTACGGTGTGTGTCATTAACGCCTGATCATGGGAAACGCCGGTTTCTGTGGCGCCGGGAACACAAGAACTGGACAAAACAGGAGTTCGGTCTGGTGATCTTTATGGATAAGAGCCAATTTAGTCTGACAAGCAGTTCTGGACGTGTAAACATCTAGAGGAAGAAGAAAATACGCAATAACTCTTCCAACATCATCGACAGGGATCGTTTTGGAGTGCCAGAGTTCTCGTTTGGGCGGTATTATACTTAGTAATTACATTAATCTCTACATCTCCCAATGAGCTACAATTACTATTGCTACTATAGTCACTGTTACAGTCAATTGCTGTTGTACCAAGGTTCTATTGCCTCATTTGCACTTGTTTAGACGTACTATGGGTTCGGGTTTCGTCGTCATGGGCGATCATGCTACATCTCATCGTACAGTAGCTATCGCAGAGTGAAGATTTTCAACGTATAAGGCTGACCTGCAATGTCTCCTGAGCTAATAGATGGTACCTTCTCGGAAAATTCTTGGCTGCACATGACTAGCCGCCAGCAACGATTCCGCAGCTGGAATTGGCGCTACAAGTTGCCGTGATACAACTCCTTGATAAACTGGTTCTTAACATGAACAGACATCGTAATTACTACATCGGAGTCACGAATGATCGTATCCCCTTCTGGAGAATGGATATTTCTTGCCAAACGTCTCTCTCATGGAGCATTTCTGTCTTCTCTCCCGTTTTGCTCGGAGCTATCTTTTTAATAAAGTGCCTGTTTAGCTTTTTTATTCCATTTTTTCCTTGGGGGTCAACTAGTGTTTTCCTTGGGGGTCGACTAGTGTGCTCGCTAGGATCTGTACTTAGGCAACCTTGGCACCAGGGGAACAAAATCATTGAGCCTGGCGGTTCTCCGTAACCTGTGAAGGTATGACTTCATTAACTGGTCTGGCCCACAGATCAAGGTGGCGCAAGCCTTGTGTTGGTTCCATCGCGGGAATCAAGCCTCTAGCGTAGTAGTGGTAGGTAGCAAATTATGACGACCAGTCAGATTCAGCAAATAGGGCTATACCCGGCCGCATATAAGCAAAATGTACACTGCTAGGACAACGGCTTGAATTTGGCCAATGACAGTCCAGATGAGGGTTTCATTAACTCCGCCCACATGAGTGACGTCATATTTCTGACGTTTGTTTACATTCTACTGTTCAGAGTTACGAAGTGCGTTTTTCGAATGTACATTTAGTTTTTCGGAATAAAAGTGTATATATATGCGTATATATCTGTATATAACCGATTTAATGTTTTTTTCGGAATATAAGGATTATTCTACTGTTCCAATACAAAATTAGGTCTAGTCAGATAGAAGTTACTGATGGCTGGAAGATCATGTAAAGTGTGGTTTACAAATTATCTGCATATTGATAATCAGAAACTTTTAAGTGACAATGACTTAAATCATCTACTATATAAAATGTACTTGCGGGAATTAAACCAAGTGAAGTTTATGTTAGTTAGTGAATCCAAGTGCGATTTTGTGTCAGTAATTAATGCAGTAAATATTTTGAATCAAATTGCCACCAGTAACTATTGCATAACTGTTGACATAGTGTGTGTCAAGAAAATTTCATATATATCTATTTGAATATTTACAACATTAATGTGCTTTGATTAAGAAATCAATATGATTTACAGGATTCAATATGCTTTCTTAGAAATAAACTTCATTTCATTATTAGAACATAAGAGTATAAAAGATGAAAGTGTGTCCACTCTAATGAACATATTGAAATGTAATTTAGCTGTGAAACTACTGAAGTTAATGTGAACATGTTATTTAATAAGAACTGAATATATTTAAGATATGCTACCAGCTCTGATATTTCAAGACTGTTGGATATGCTTATCTATGAAGATTAAATCACTATTAACTGACAAATTATGGTTCTGGTAAAGCATATATATCTA